AATTCGCGAGAGTAGAATTTGAGAGAAGATGAAGAATGGATGCACCTGAGCCACTGAAAACGATTATAAGCTATTCGATTCAAATTCTTTAACCATCGGTTACTGTTGTCTCATGGACCCCAACATTATAGTTTACACCTACCAGCCTGGCTCAATCCAATTTTCAGTGCTTTTATGGGTTTGTGTCGTGTTTTGTTATGGCCCACCCTAACTTCATCCTAGCCCACCTCTACACTAGTCAGCGTCGTACATGCAGGTAGTCGGTAATCTGTTATCCCTTCATAGCACCAATTTCCTAACAGCAGCGTGGCTTACTCGATTATCCCAACATATTAAAGCGATGCCTCGAAGACACCTATGATTGAATATTAATAGAGGACGAATATCCATTATTATTACTGGTCACATTTCACTTCCGTAAACTAAGACGGGGCGAAACACTGCGCAGTAAAATCGACTTTCGGCTGACAAACGGATATTTCGCCTGTGCCTCGATGGACGCAAGTTGGTAGAAGCCACTCACGCTTTCTGTATCAGCGCCGAGTTTCGTCAGAGAGTGGGCCATCAGGAGTGATGAGACTCCCAAAATAATTGAAGCCGTTGATATGCTCAACTACTTACCCTCTATCACTAGTTGAGACGTCGACACAAGCCATTTCGAGGAGTAGGATCACACCCCAAAACGTCGGAACTTTGGCTCATGGTGATCAAAGGTCTGCATTTTATTGTTCTTCACCAAATAGAGATATGTCATCTGCATACTATAGGCCAATAAGTGGTGGATCCCCTGGTAGGTCAAGCCCTGGGAAGTGGACAACCCTGAAGAACACCACTTGAATCGTTTAATTTTGATGAAAGTTCGCCATAAGCTCCAAGTCGACCACTAGTGTTTGGGTATAGAACCAGTAAAAGGTTAATATACTTCTTTGGTGCATATCGCAATAACAGACGTTGCAAAAGAACCTCGGGATTAATAGATTTGAGCGCCGTTTTAAGATCAAGGAATAAAATATTTGTCGGACGTCGAAAAATATGTCTATATTCTAGGATCTTGAGGAGTAAATGTTTGGTTATTCATCTACGTGTATGTCTGAAATCAACCCAGTTTCCTCGAGGTCCAGTTAAGCAATAAAGTATTATTGCAGCTATTATTTTAGACATTATATTAGTTAAACTGATGCTAACGTGATAGACAGAAGAAAACTTTCGTTCTTTCATATAGATTGGTACAGTCAGATATCGAGACCAGTCAGATGAGACTGTGTTCAGTTAGTAATCAGTTAACCTAGCTGATAAAACAGAACAACATCCTCAAAATTCTCAGAGATAAACAAATCAGAACCAGCTGCTGTACCTCGCCTTAGATTGCTTGCAGCCGTTTTGACCTCATCAAGGGTCGTTTAAGCTAATCCAGTTTGCGACTCACGTTGAATGTAGATTGTGGATAACTGAAGTGTGGTTGACGGCCGGTGCAATCGCTCTCTAAAATGTTCTGTCCATCGATCCAATCTCCTGGCCCAACCGTAGCTGCTACCGCGACTTCGAAAACTTCTCATGAAAAGGTTGCTTGTGGCCGGCCTGATGCAGTTGTCTCTTAAGCTCAACAGATCCCCTATATCAGTTATAAAAATTACAGAGATGACCGGACGTAATTACTTGTAGGTGCAATCTGTGTAAATTGCATTTTCCCAGCCCATTCAGACTCCATAGGATTCAAAATCAATTAGCTCAGCAATCTTCTCTGTGTTGTTCTACGGTTGTGGAATACGGCTTTTGAATATATGAAACATATAATAAAAACATTTGATAAATTTGGTTAATTCTTTCACGTGGTTGGCAGTCAAGAAGTGACATCCACCCGTATACCCGTAATAGCACACGAGATCAGTTTAGTCACAGTCAAATTCTTCCTACACCCCAAACATTTCTCTTATCTCCACGACTAACCCTTCTCTCATTCCTTTATTAACCCGCACCGGTAATGCGAATGATTCGAGTTTACGAAACGTTATGGCTGGTCTCCTTGAACACTGTTCTAAACTATATGTTGGGGCTTTTGATGTACGGACATAGTGTCGAATAGAGCGACAGGCTTACTTGGCTAGGAATCGTGTGTTATCGATTTATGGTGCGCCTCTCATCGTCTCCAGAACTTGATGGCGTGATAATATCTACAACAGTCAGTTCAAGTGCTGTCTTCGAAATTCAGTGGTTACCCGTGAGTTGAGATCGAAGTTATTTGTGGATATCATTGCATTGACCGCAGCCAGTCAATTACACCAAAAAGCGTATTGAATATAATCGTCTTACGTCCTTTCGCGATTCGGAGTCATGTGTCCACCAATATATAAATTCTTGCCTTTTTGATCTGTAACTCGTTGGATGGTAGCTTTAGATTCCCACTGCCATGGTACTTACTTACTTACTTACTTACGCCTGTTACCCCAAATGGAGTATAGGCCACCCACCAGTTTTCTCCAACCAACTCTGTCCTGGGCTTCCCTCTCCAGTTCTGTCCCATTTCTGTTCATTCATATCATATCTTTCTCTGTTTCTCGACGAAATGTGTTCCTTGGCCTTCCTCTTTTCCTTTTGCCTTGAGGGTTCCATGTGAGGGCTTGTCTTGTGACGCAGTTAGGTGCTTTTCGTAGTGTGTCCTATCCACTTCCATCGCGTCTTCCTGATTTCCTTCTCCACGGGAATCTGGTTTGTTTTCTCCCACAGTACGTTGTCGCTGATGGTGTCTGGCCAACGAATCTGAAGTATTTTGCGAAGACGACTTTTAATAAACACTTGTATCTTCTGGATGATGGCTTTGGTAGTTCTCCAAGTTTCCGCTCCATACAGTAGAACTGTCTTCACATTTGTATTGAAAATCCTTATTTTGGTGTTGATTGATATCTGTTTAAAGTTCCAGATATTTTTCAACTGTAGAAATGCAGCCCTCGCTTTGCCAATCCGCGCCCTCACATCTGCATCCGATCCACCTTTCTCGTCGATGATGCTGCCCAGATATTTAAACGTGTTAACGTCCTCCAAGGCATCTCCATCAAGAGTGATTTGGTTGGTGCATCTTGTGTTGCATCGGAGAATTTCGCTTTTCCCTTTATGTATGTTGAGACCTACTGCTGCTTAGGCTGATGCTTCACTGGTCGTCTTCTCTTGCATTTGTTGTTGCGTGCGCGATAGAGGAGCCAGATCATCTGCGAAGTCCAGATCGTCCAGCTGCATCCAAACTATCCAGTTGATCCAGTCGATCACCAGGAGAAAGAGAAAGTGTGAGAGTAAGCAACGTTGTCTGACAACGGTATTCACTTCGAAAGAGTCTGTCAGCTGACCTCCGTGCACGATTTTGCAGTTGAATCCATCATGAGAATTCCGTATGATATTAACTATTTTCTCAGGCACCCCGTAGTGTTGAAGAAGCCTCCACAGTGTTCTCCTATCCACGCTATCGAATGCTTTCTCGTAGTCGATGAAGTTGATGTAGAGTGGTGAGTTCCATTCAATTGCTTGTTCCACAATGATCCGTAATGTAGCAATTTGGTCAGTACACGATCAATCCTTCCGAAATCCGGCCTGTTGATCTCGAAGTTGGGCGTCTACGAAGTCCTTCATTCTGTTTAACAATACTCTGTTGAAGACTTTGCCTGGTATTGAAAGAAGAGTGATGCGTGTGTAGTTCTCACACTTGCTGAGGTCGCCTTTCTTTGGTATTTTGATCAGGTATCCTTCTTTCCAATCTGATGGTACTTGTTCCTCATCCCAAATCTTCTTGAAGAGAATGTGAAATATTTTCGCATTTGCTTCCACATCTGCTTTCAATGCCTCTGCTGAAATGTTGTCTGATCCTGCTGATTTGCCATCCTTGATTTGTCTGATGGTCATACTGACCTCTTCAATTGTTGGCGGGTCAACATCGATTGGGAGGTCCATGGATGCTGCTTCGATGTTGGGTGGGTTCAGTGGAGCTGGTCAATTCAGGAGTTCCTTAAAGTGCTCTACCCACCTATTTCGCTGTTGTTCAGTGTTACTGATTACTTTGCCTTCCTTGCTTTTCACTGGTCGTTCTGGTTTACGATAGTTGCCAGCGAGTTTCTTTGTTGTTTCGTACAATTGTCTCATTTTTCCTCCTCTTGCAGCCTTTTCCGCCGTCATTACTAGATCTTCCACATATTTTCGTTTGTCAGCTGTGATGCTCTTCTTCACTCCCCTGTTTGCTTCTGTGTATTCAGCTTGTGCGGTAACCTTCTCTGCTCTTGTTCGGCTGACATTGATTGCTGTCCTCTTGTTCCTCCTTTCTCCAGTTTTTGCAAGAGTATCAACAGAGATCCATTCCTTGTGATGGTACTTCTTGTGACCCAGAACTTCATGACATGTTGAAGTGATTGCCTCCTTGATCCCTTTCCAATCGTTCTCCAATGTTGCGTACTCTCCATTGAGTAGATCCTGAAAGGCCTGGAACCTATTGGTGAGGGTTATCCTGAATTCTTTGAGTTTTACGTTATCTCGAAGAAAGGCTGTATTAAACTTGTGTGATGTTGTCTGCCCTGTTATCCAGTGTTTCTTGAGTTTCAGTTTTGTTTTAGGGACCAGAAAGTGGTGATCTGAGGCTATATCAGCTTCTCTCTTGGTTCTCACATCCTCCGTGGTCCTTCTGAACGTTTTGTTGATACTGATATGATCAGTTTGGTTTTGAGTAGAGTGGTAAGGTGAAATCCATGTGGCTTTGTGTATGCGTTTGTGTGGCTTGATAGCAAATATTTAAAATCAAGAAGCGCTAATCAGTATCAAACTGTCTTGTTGTTTCATCTCACATGGGTAGATTGCTTCTCATTGACGCTACAGAAAACCGAGAACTAGGACACAGAATCAAGAGTAATTTTTTAAAATAATCCGGTCAGAACTTTATCGTTACAGCGTGCTTTGACTTATTAGAAAAAAAAAGTAACTTGGTCAATCCAAATGAATGGTTTGAACATGGAAGACAAAAGTTGTTCAATATTCAGTTGACAACGGTACGTCGGGCGTACTCATCAAGTTTTCTACGCTTCGTTAGGATCATTGGAGTTTAAACCTCGGACCTAATGCCGGCACCCGGTGATCGGTTAGTCAAAGTTAAGATTTCATTAACCTGTTGCTAAACAGATTTGACTGGTATCAGTCAGAGGGTAATGTTTGCATAAATTACCTAAGGAAAAATATGAAACCAACTGACGTACGAGTGGAAATAGAAAGTCGGAAGGTGAGATAGTGGGAAATTAAGTTCATAAAGACAGATTTTATTGTACCTTACTATCCCCACTGGTGACGAGTTGCTCAGAAAATTTCAGTTACTTCATGAAGTTGTCCCAGAGAAGTCATCATATCGAGTCACTGCCACAAAAATCGAAATCAAATTAAAGAAAAAAGATGAAGTTAGGTGGAGTCATCTGGAAGCTCAAAATTGTATTCCTGGTTCGGGAATTCGTAAGTTGAAGTTAGTTAGGGTGCAGTTATAGATTTGTCGAACTACTTGCATAACCTGATTAATCTATTGTAATACTGTAAACTTTCGAGTGCTCTTCGAATACAAAATATTCAACCTAATTCGCTGATTTTTTTCTTGCTACATAATAAGCGTGTTTGGCTCGTGATGCATTAATGTGGTTGTGGTGAATTTCTTTCTTGAAACTTCATAAAAGTGCAGTGTACAATCATACAGTGCAATACTAATGATATGGATAACGTAGATTTAGTTTGTACGTAGGACAGAAAGTCAGTATTAGTATCCTTATACTATCACGCGAAAGTAAAGCGATAATCTACATCGTAACACAACCTAAATAGTGTTATTAAACGTATGTCGGTAGCATGTGGTATGTATTAGTTGTCAGAGTTGTATTTATATGGTTTTTGGTTGAATGGTAGTCTCGCAATGAATGTTACGTTTTTTTCACTACTAGGTCAGTCAGTCAGTCAGTTGCAACGTAGAACTTCGTACGTAAGTACATCAGTTCATGTTGCCATACCATATTAGCACAGAGACACGATTGTCAATTCAAATCGCATAGTGTTAGAGATAGCAGAAGAATTACTGATGATGGAGAAGATTAGGATATGAAGATAATATTCAAGAAGTATAATTCAGGTTCAGTACTTGGTACTGATTCCAGTGTATTGATCTTTAGTATATTGCTTGAAATATTATTCTGCCTGTAAATTAGTGACTCCTACTATCAAGCGACTACGACTTAACTTTGTGGAATAAGTATTTTTGCCATTACAGCCCCTAGAATGTACTCATCAAGACAATCTGAAATCCTGATTCCAAAGTCTAGTATGCTAACCAAGTACATCCAGAAAATTAACTCAGAATCCTACCGTGACAACATTTTATTCGGTGAATGTGAATATCTCATTTTATTGAGTTATAACTCTCTAATTACATGCCATCTTCCTCGACTTTCAGCAGGAAGTTTAGTATCAGTTGAAGACTATTTTTAGAAACTGGCATGCTGTTTATTTAGTTGACTTAGGTTAGTGCGACATCGTAAGTAATCGTTTTGTCCTTTGACATCATGGTTGCCTGTAAAGGTTGGTGTATTTTTATTTTGGCGCTTTAGGGCTTGACCACTACTCATGTTGCTTATTATTCACGTTTCTTTGCAGCCACGTCACAAGATATCACTAAAATTGTTCACTCCTATCCATCCTCAAGCAAATCCGCACACGATTGGAACAAAATTGATAAAGAAGCAGCTCAAATAGAGGGAGAAGAAGATCCTTTAAACAAGTTGTTCAGAAATATCTACGAAAATGCTTCCGATGAAACTAGAAGGGCGATGGTTAAAAGTTTTGTAGGTTTCCTCTTATTTTCTCTGGTTTTTTGAACTAAGGAGTTTAGGTTTGGAATCTAAGTTATCGTTTTAATTTGGTATGTAGTTTAAACAAGCAGGTATGTACGTGGTTTTATGCTAACTGACTATATAGTCTGTTGTACACAAATCCAGCAGACAATTTCCTGTCCCTCACAAGTACAACAGTGATGTGAATAGTAACAATAATTTGACAGTTGACAAATATACACTCTCCTACTCTATCTCTAACTAGTCTCATACAGTTATTTGCAATCCGAATATTTTGTCTTTATTTGTTTATTTGCCTGTACAAAACCCGTTTGTGTTCAGGCATTGGTAGTATATGCCCTTACCACTTCAGTCAACACTTGAACGCCTCATTAACTGATTTTCTTCCTCTGTTTAGTGCCCTTTGTCTAGCCTCGGAATTGCCTACTTGGTCACTTCATTAAATACTAGGAGTGCTTTGAAGACTTATGGTCCAAAACCTACAGCTTTTGCTCCATTCTGTTCAAACATCATGTTTCACAGCTATGTAATGGAACAAAACAAACTGTTGTGCAATATATGCGCTACTTTTCTTAAGACGATCATTTAATGTACATGCAAGTTACTTAAGACCGAGCGAGTGTTCGTGTATTCTTTCAGAGAACTGCTTCTCAGAACTGATAAAATTACTCAGATAGGTGAAAATGATCAAGGCACTCCACTTCCTACAATCACTGCAGACGTTAATCCTTCCACGGTGTGGGCAACCGGGAAGTGACTACCGCCCTCATACCTGTGACAGCACACAAGACCAAATTGGTAACAATCAAATCCTTTCTAAACCTATTAATAACTCTCTTATCTCCTCGAACAACCCTTCTTTCGATCCTGTATCACCTCACGCCAGTGAAGCGAACGGTATGAGCTCATGAAGCATTAGTCCTGATCTCTTCAAACCCCGTACTAAATTACATATTGGAGCTTTTAATGTTCGGACCCTATGTCAAATACGGTAGCAGGCTTCATTACCTGGAAATCTGAAATCCCGTGCAATCGATGTGTGTTGCGTTTCCGAAAAGCGCATACAAAATACGAGTAAAATCATCAATTTGATTTAACTTAGTGCAGAGAGAGAGACAACAAAGTTTACGCTTCGTGTTTCTGGCAGCCCTGATGCCGCTTCCTGTGGCCTCACCGGCGTAGCAATAGTATTAAGTCCTAGGGCAGAACTAGCCCTCCTAGACTGGATCCCGAAAGACAGTCGCTTATGCGCTGCCCCACTAAACGGGACGGTACGGACTCGAAAGGATAGGGACACTCGCCGATGCCTCTTCGTCGTATCTGCCTACCCTCCCACTGAATGCAGTTCAGAAGGCATGAAAAATAAGTTTTATAGAAACCTCTCTAAGCTTCTCCAAAATGTTAAGCGCTCTGATTTGTAATAATGGCTGGTGACTTTAACGCTTAAGTAGGTAGACTTGGCGAAGAGGAAATACACTTGGTTGGATCTTATAGTATCGCGGCTAAGAAAACACTAACTTTAAGCATAAGGCAAAACACCTTTCGTCCTGGCGACCTCCGAAGCCGACCCAACGATTGACCCAACTAGACCACATCGCTATGAGCCATCGGTGGAGAGGCTCCGTTGAAGACTGCCGCTCATTTCTTTGGACTCAGACCATGCTTTAGTGCGAGCGCGTATTTGTTTGCGCCTTACTAGACGTAAGAAAAATATCTCAAGGAAACCTCTTAGGTCTCTACCTAATGATAATAATGCTAATAATATATTTCAGGAACAACTAAAAAAACAGTTAAGCAGCCATGAAGTTAGTGATGCCCACCCTGAGGTAGCTTGGAATGAAATTAAAAGGCTGTGGAAACAGCAGTGATATCTTCTAGCAACGTAAACCATAAGGTTAGGGAGAAGCTGTGGATTTCAGTTGCATCTACTGAACTGATGGATGTTCCACAACGTATTCCACGTGGCTATAGACATGATGAAGAGCGAAGTCAGCATAGGTACAGGATGATAAAAAGTCTACGCAACGACCGCGAATAATGGTGGTTGGCGAAAGCGAAGGAGATGGAAAAGGCAGCGACGATAGGCAACAGTAGACAGTTGTTCCCACTTATAAAGGAAACCGGTTTTAGGAACCCGAATGTGAGTGGAACTATCTCAACCCAGGAGATTGGATCGATGGGCAGAACACTTTAGCAATCAGTTCAACTGGCCTTCAGCTACACTTCGGTTGCCCACGATCTACAGCCATCCTGAATGGCAAATCGATATCAGTCATCTTAGTTTTTATAAAGTTGAGAAAGCGATAGGAAATCTGAAGCGAGAGAGAGCAGCGGGTCCTGATAGATTGACTCCTGAGATTTTTAAGGATGGTGGTCCAGTTTTAGCAGCTAGGTTGACTGAGATCTTAGGTAGAATCTGGGAACTGGACGTAATCCCATCTGAATGGTCTCAGTCGCTAATCGTTCCAATCTACAAGAAAGGACAAAAGTCTTCTTGTGACAATCACAGGGGAATAAGTCTAACTAATATAGTTTCTAAATTGTTAGCCTCAGTAATACTTAGACGTTTAACGAAAGCTCGTGAAGAGCAGACTCGGGAAAACCAGGCTGGTTTTCGACCTGGACGTGGTTGTATAGACCACATCTTCACACTACGACAGGTCCTGGAACATAGACAAACATTTAGGCGTCCTACAATAGTTGTGTTCCTGGACCTAAAAGCGGCATTTGACTCAGTGGATCGTGAGGTTCTGTGGCAGTGTCTGTCATTGAAAGGTGTACCAAAGAAGCACATTAACCTTATACAAGCACTCTACTCGAACACCACTGGTCGAGTGAGAGCTTATGGCTAACTGTCATCTGAATTCTCTACATCAAGTGGTGTCCGTCAGAGATGTCTACTTTCCCCATTTTTGTTTAAGGTTGTCGTAGACGTGCTGCTAGATATAACATTATGTTCGTCTGAATTTTCAGGAGTAGACTTTCTACCAGGCGGCTTGCTTATTGACCTGGAATATGCCGATGACATAGTTCTATTCGGTGAAGACGCTGACAAAATGCAGAGTCTTCTGACTACCCTGAGCAACAATGCAAGCATTTTCGGGACGAGGTTTTCCTCCTCGAAATGCAAAATCTTGCTTCAGGATTGGGTTGCATCGGTACCGGAACTGGTGATAGGGAGTGAAGTAGTTGGGCATGTTGACCGCTTCACTTACCTTGGGAGTCTGATCAGTCACGATGGCCCGGTTTGTGACGAAATGTCAGTGCGGATACAGAAAGCTCGATTGGCTTTTGCCAACCTGCGTCACGTATGGCGAAGGCGAGATATGCCCCTGCTGACTTAAGGACAAGTGTACTGTTCAGTAGCTCGCTCCGTCATACTATATGGCTGTGAAACATAGTCAGTCATAGTATAAGATATTCGTAGATTGCTGGTTTTCGGTCATAGGTGTATCCGAAGCATTGATCGTATATCCTGGGACACCCGAGTGAGCAACGCTGTTATTAGGAAACGGGTGCTAGGTAAGAATGTCAGATCAATAGATGAAGTGGTGAAACCTTGTCTGTTGAGGTGGTTGGGACATGTGCTGCTTATGCCTAACCACCGACTGCCTCAACGTGCTTTGTTTTGTAGTGTAGGAGTAGGTTAGAAGAAAGCTAGGGGCGGCCAGACCAAAACATGGCAGCAATCCATGAAGTCACTGACAAGTTGACTGAGTCATGTTGACAGATGTAGGCTACCTAATTGGAGTCCGCGAGATGTTATTAATCGATGGCTATAGACCCTGAATGACATTGCTCAAAACCGTTTGCAGTGGCGCAAGTGCACCTACTCTATATGTTCTCTCAAATCCTTATCTTCTGGATTCGTCAACACCTCTACCTTTGTCTTTCTAAACCTATGTCACTGAATTATACTTCTCTATCTTCAAATCTTAATCTTCTCCATTAGCGGTAATTCTTCTGCTATCTCTACCACTATGGGATTTGAATTGGCAATCGTGTCTCTGCGCTCATGTGGTATGGCAACATGAGCCGGTGTACTTTCGTACGAAGTTCTACGTTGCAACTGACTGACTGACTGCATACGTTAACATAGATCGCTTCTAAAGAAACATTTTTTCTGTTGATCAGAATAAGTTTCATCACAAACAGCTAGATTGTTCCTAGTATTCAGAAAGCTGAAATTCGTCATCATTTTCTCCGAACAAATCTATATACTTTTCAAGTTAGTCATCTCTATATAAGTTGCAATGGTTAGGGCTTGTAAACTAAGGGAATCAGATTATAAGCAAACGGAATTTAGTGTGGCGAAAATAAGTTGGAATTTGACCTTATAATCACATTACTTTGATATCAACTTCCTTATAAGTGGTGCTTAAAAATCGAACATCCTCAGCACGACTTGAGGTTAGCAGTTCACCTTAAATGCTAAATTGACTCATACTGTTTGAGTGGAGAGCGTTCACGATGTTTATATATATGTTACGCCATTTATTGAAAACTTTTCCCTTCACACATTGGTTAGCAGATTCGAATACTACTTATCGCTTAAGAAATACTATTGGTCGTAACTACTACCTTGACCCGGTGGTCGGACTTGCCTATCGTGATGACGACTGAGCTAATAGTGGCTGGTACATGTTGCTTTACAGTCCTACCACGCCAGGCAAGTCGATTGGAGAACGGTCAGACTAGAAGTAACAACTGAAGGTCTGAGGATGCAGTCGCACTGCTGACTTAAGATGGGTGTGACAGCAGTAAGTTGTTTCTCGCAGATAACCAGCATCTGCAGCAATACTGTCTTCTCATGACGGAGGCAAAGGGTTGGATAATGTCGACCCTAAATATGTCACACCTTGCCTTACCCCACAGGTTTCCGTCTTTGGAGGTGAGGTGACTGACCTCAAGCACTTGACCCTTGTAGTCTGCGGTCTTACTCAGGATCACTAAAACCAACACTCACCTAACTCTCCATTTCAGATCTCTCCGAATGAAATGTCCTACCATGGTGTGGGCATCTGGGGAGTGACATCCGCCCTCATACCCATAATAGCACTCGAGATTAACTTGCTCACGATCAAATACTTCCCTCACATCATAACAACTTTTATCTGTGCGACCAACCGTTCCCACATGCCTTTATCAGATCACGCTGCTAATGATTTAAGTGCACGAGATGTTATTCCTGTTCCCTGAAACCCGCTCTAAACTACATGTCGGAGCTTTTAATGTTCAGACTGTGTCAAATAAGACAGAAGGCTTCTTTGGCTAGGAATCTCGCGCCATCACACACAGGGTCCGAGTACAATGATTCATTTGATTTCATCTTGTCAAAACGAAAGGCCCATCTTGATTTACGCTCCATGTATCTGGAAGCCCTACTGATGCTTCCCATGACCCTGTTGCGGTAGGTATAACATCGAGTTCTAAAACAGAAATAGCTTTCTTAGACTGGATTTCAGTAGATAGTCGCTTGTGCGGTGTTCGACTAAACAGGACAGTAAAGACTTGGAAAGGAAGGAGCACTATCCGTTGCCTCTTATAGTCTTGCCCTACGACTTAATACTATACCTACGCCGGCGAGGCCACAGGAAGCAGCATCAGTGCTCCTTGAAACACGAAGCGTAAACCTTGTTGTGTCTTTATCTGCACTAGGTGAAATCAAATCGATGATTCTACTCGGATCTCGTATGCGCGTTTCGTAGACCTAACATACGTCGATCGCCCGGGATTCCAGAGTTCTAGCTAATGAAGCCTGTTGCCCTGTTAGGCACAAGTTTCGAACACTAAAAGCTGTAATATTTAATTTAGTATGAGGTTTCAAGAGACCAGAAATAATGTTTCGTGAGCTCAAATTGTTTGCTTCAGCGGCGCGAGATGACAAACGATCGAAGGGAGAGTTGGTCGTGGTGATAAGAGAGTTATTAAAAGGTGTAGAAAGGATTTAGTCTCGTGTGTTTTTATGGTTATGAACATTTGTTTTTCATCGTCAATCGTATAATCAACACTGCCGTTAGAAAGAAGTAGGGCCTCTCTTTTTGTGGCCATATGAGGGTGTTTTGAAAGGGAGATTTATTAGGAATTTAAGAATGGAATCTATAACTTCCATCACCACTTGGTTTTTCCTTTGGCCCCATCTAAATATTTCCAAACAGCTTTTATTATTAACTATCAGCTACAACTTTTTATTTCAAAGTGACCTGGGATTTCAAAAACCTTTCGATATTCGAATCCTCGAATCATTTGATAATGTCATTCATTTCTATTCACCTAAGACTATTTCCACTCTGCCACAACTTCTCAAGGTGAATTTTTAAATTATCAGTCTGGATTTTGGCAGTTTATCCTGTTCATTGTGCTCAATTGTCGTCAGGATAAGATCAGTTTGTTTCCGCCCCTAAATTTCATATTATTCAAAAACATGACTCATAGCATTTTTATTTTAATTAGCCACCGTTAGTTTCGTTTACAGTGGAATTATAAAAGTATTATTTCGGTGTTTCCTCATTTGATTTCACGTACATTGAAATCATTGACTACCGTTTATCATTAAAGAAAACTGCTGTCACATAGCTCGAATAACAAATAAAAACCCAATTTTCTAGCTTCCTCACTATATCAAGCAGGTGATGGGAATCAAAATGTGTACTTACGTAAATCCATGGTAACTGATCTCTAAACCGTTTCAAAAGCTGAACGCTTTGATTCTCAAACATAAGATCAGTAATCAAGTTGAGTAAAGCTTAAGCAAAAATTCGATTACGCGTAAAAATTAAATATTCGTAAGTACGAACGGTTTTGGCCATTTCTGGAACATCAACATGTGAAAGCTGGTTTTTTAGATCCCTGAAAAGGAATTACTTTCATCTATCGGCCAGACTTAGGTAGGTAACTGTTGATTCTACATAGCAGCTGTTTCAGTTTGCTCACACATGACCAATTTTATTCTTGCTTTGAAAAACGTCCTTATTTTCACATTTCCCTTCTCATGTGCTGTAGTCCAAGCCAGTGTTGCGCTGCCTCAGCTTTAAACTTATTTCCTCGCACTTTCGTCTATTTCAATCATTGCAGATAGAACCCTATCGCGTTAGCATTCAAATGTCTTAACACTCTTAAGTTTCCTTAATTTGATGATGAAAATGATGACATCCTTTTAAAAGCCGTAATGCATTGATTTTTTATTTTAGACGGAATCAGCTGGCACCGTCCTGAGCACCAATTGGAGTGAAGTTGGAGCGGGTAAAGTTGAAATGCGACCTCCAGATGGAATGGAATTTAAAAAGTATGAAATGTAATGACTGTTACCAAAAGTTACTTTATTCTTACTATTATTTTTCAATGGAAATAAAGCATTTTTACGGTCATGACCTTTTGTCTTTATAAATAATAGCAATTCCGAAAAAGTCAAATTCGATTATAAAACTTAGCATTATAAATGTCTACTTTTCGTCGCTCTAACCATAGGCATTTACTATAAACATGAGTGTTGATAGAATACGATATACAAAGTTAACGGTGTATTTGATCATGCATTGTAGTTCTGTTTAACTGAGGAGCAATACTTTAACCTGTTGTTACCCCTGAGATTTTTAAGGATGGTGGTCCAGTTGACTAAGATTGCAGGTAGAATGTGGGAACTGAGCGTAATCTCATCCGATGGTCTCAATCACTGATGGCCCAGTCTACAAAAAAGGACAGAAGTCCTCTCGTGACAATCACAGAGGAATAAGTTTTATTAATGTAGTGTCTAGATATTGGCCTCAATATTACTCCATCTAACTAGAGCTCGTGAATAGCAGACTAGAGGAAACCAGGCTGGTTTCAGACCTGGACGTGAGTGTATAGAGCGCATATTCACACTACGTCAGGTTCTAGAAGAAAGACACGTTCAGACGCCCCACAACTGTGGTATTTCTCGAGCTTAATGCGGCACTCGCCTCTGTCGATCTTGAGGCTCTGTGACAGTCTGTCAAAGAAGTACATTAACCTTATACAAGCTCTCTACTCGAACACCACTGGTCGAGTTACAGCTTATGGCGAACTCTCATCGGGATTCTTTACTTCAAGTGGTGTCCGCCAGGGCTGTCTCCTCTCCATCGTTTAAATTAGCCGTAGACATGCTTTTAAAGTTAACATTATCTTCGTCTGACATCTCAGAGGTGAACCTTCTATCAGGATACACGCTTGCTGACTTAGAGTATGCTGATGACATAGTTATATTTGGTGAAGACGCTGACAAAATGACGAGTCTTCTGACTACCCTAAGTAATAATGCCAGAATGTTCGGGATGTGACTCTCCTGGCCGAAACGCAGAATGTCGCTTCAGGACTCGATTGACTTCTGCCGATTCGCGTCATTTATGGCGTGGGCGACATACCCGTTTGTTGACTAAAGTAGGAGTCTACTGCTTAGCAGTTCGCTCCGTCCTGCTTTATGGATGTTCTACGTTGTAACTGACTGACTGTTGTTGCTACTGAAATCGAGTATTCGTACTTGTTTTTATATCCTACTCATATCGATTAGTGACCAAATTTGTCATCATCTATGTTGGGGATGTACAAGCTTGCTGGAGTATTGAAATAATCTTGTAATTGTTTTTACCTTGACTCTCTTCAGAAAAGCTTTTCTGTTCTTAGTTTGGATTTTAAGGTCGCAATCGGATTCGCCTAACGCTTCAGTTATATTTTCATTGTATTGAGTTTGCTTGGGAAATCCAACCTATTAGTTAGGCCTTCTGTGTAATGGAGGAAAGTTTTCATGATTTATTCGTCGAAAGTAAATTGTAGCTTATAACTCAAATTTTAGTATTTTTCGAAACGACTTGATTATTATAGCTGTTTTTTAGACTTAGAATGAAGTAACCATAGGCCTATTGATTAAAAAAAACTGACTAGTTATGACGATCAAATGCTCGAACGTTTCATTTCTTTTAAATAAAATTATTCAAACTATTTCGCGGATCCTCGTAATTGTTTCGTCAAACCTTGGATAATTTCGGCCGTAATTATATCGTACCTCCTAAATTTGTATTGACAGGTTATTCTAAATGCTGTATTAAATTAGTTATTGGAAAGAAAAAAAAACTTTAAACTTTTTATAACGTAGCATCATCAGAATACATTAATTTTTATATAATTTAATATCCCAATATGACAACTTTAGTTAATCTGTGAACATAATCATTTGCAGAAGACTGATCACTTGTATGGATGTCAGATCTGCTAAAACTGCCTGAAAATAAAAATTAAGCATTCATTACTTACATTTCAGTGAGTATAATTTATGAAATATACATAAACGGTACTCAATTATTCGTTTACAATCAAGGTGTTCACTGTACAAACGCCTTTTGTTTGGTTTAAGCTATGAAAGCTAAAATACTAGATTTCATTATTTTGATGTAACTTAAGGAGAGCCAAGGTGAAGCAACCGCAGTGTTTATTGTTACAGCTCGAAATCATTAATTCAGTTCAACAATTTTTTTTAGTCATCTAACAAAAACAAATAACTCGCGCGAACGTGAACTCAATGAATGATGCATTATGGTGTTTTCCGTACACATTTCATTACCTTCTGAGGAAATTTAAGTCAATGATGATCAAATGTTTTAGCTACTGATTTTGTCATGTTTAGTGAACTATACCACTACGTAATCCAATGAAGCTGCTGTGTAATTTTATTTTAAGTTGGGTTCTTTAACTTCATCCCAATCGGTCGGAAAATAGTCACACATCATCATCTTTTTGTGGCTACTTTTGTATCAGATACATTTCGACCAATATTATGTAATGGTTGAAACTTAATAGTTTTTGCTAAAAAAGTTTTTTCGTCCCAATACTTGCTAAATTTCTAACTTCTATTGTTGTACTTATAACTGAAAGTTTGTTTTAAAGCTATAAAGATTCACTTCTACTTCTGAAGACTAATAAACCAGATTATTTTTCTACTTCAGACCATTATTTTTTGAGAGCACTGGCGTTTATACTTTATAGGTGTTAAACATACCATTAAGAATGGAGGATATCTATAGGTTATCATTACTAGATCATAGTTACCCCCTGGGCATCGTTATCTATCTATGAAATCACTGACAACTAGACTGAGCCATGTTAATAATAGGTGTAAACTATTTAGTCATTATTGTAACCAGTGATTGGAGCCTTAGAGTCGTTAGCAATGGTGTAGGTGGATTCACTGTTTGTCTTCCTTCGGAACGTGATTGCCAAAATCTTACACCTTTTTTTTCCTTTTTCTATGCATAGCCTTTTGTGCTATATGAGATGATACTGTTACTACTCTGGGATTTGTGTGGTAAGTTGGAACGATGCATATGTGTTAGATTTTCACTGTTAGATGGAAGTGAAATTTGTTATGAATAAATAAAAATCGTGAAGTAAAACAAAACAGAAATTAATCACATTCATTTAACGAATTTCCAACAGTCTACATACCTCAACATCTGCTACTGTTCTCACCAGGAGTAAATTAGCACGACGGTAAGAGAATATAGCCACAGCTAAAACTGTAATAAAAAATATCGTTAAAATTATAAACATAAACTACGTGATTATTCTGAATGCCGTGCTAAATGATAAACATAACTTCATGATTTGGATAAGTATTAATGTATAGGCAGAATTCTCTAAACGATTGTCTAACAAATACAAGCTCTTGATCCCAAGGCTCTCTGTAGACAGGTATTATACAGACGTATGAGGTTTATCGGCCGGTTTCGTATGGTTTCCTTCATGTTTCGAAATTGAGTTTCGTATGTTCCTTCAGTCATCCCGGAAGCCAATGTGTCCTGTAAAGTTTTTGAGACTAAGACTTTTTTTGAACGGTATTCGCCTGAAATTTCAGAGAAATATGCATTTACAGTAGTAGTTGTGTTTGTCATTGGATTTTTAGTAATTGTTTCCTTATTGGAGGAAAGATATCTGGTCTTCAGTATAATCATAACTAGCGACTTTAAAAACTGTAACATGAATATGATATTATTCTAAATGATTTGAAGCAATAATAGGGTTATGTATGTATTAAGTATTCCTATTTATACAGAAAATGTTATGGAAAACAAAAATAAACTTTGAAAAATCAAAGGAATATCCGTTTTTGTACTTTTTATTTATCGGTTCGATAGCTGATTCATGGTGTTTTAATGTTATTCTAAATGAGGGCTTAAATTTGATTGATTAATAATACTCGCGATATCTTTTGCTTTTCATGGAATACAAATAATTAACTGTAAACCTATAGCTTAACTTTCCTATCCATTAAGATTTATGGTGCGTTATAGTCCTGCATATGTATAATCACTTAGTTTCGAACAATCATTGATACTTGAATGGATTTGTTGGTGTTTGTTAGTTTGGGAACAGCTTAATTTTACGTGAATACTCGATCATTCCGCCCATTCAGTAACTAAGTGGAACTATTGTTACTGGGGTAGGCCAGAAATGCAGCGAAGGTACGGATAAGGAATGGAGTGAATACCATTTTTGAAACTTACGCTAGGCCAAAACGAATTATACTGATGAGCATTGTTGCAAGTCTTTTTTACATCGGGTTTATTTTCCTTCATTGGAAGTATTATTTCCAAACCCTCGTGAGTTTATCGTCTTCAAGACTTTGATTTAATCATTATTATTAAGTGTTCGACGACGACGACGGATTAACCACCTCCAACAGCCGACATTATTATGTGTAGTCCGCTGAGTTTTCCTACAAGATTTCAGGGGGTTAGCACTGATATAGGTGATCTTGTCGGTACAACTTAAAGTTCTGTCCGAGAGTTACAATTGGCCTTGTCAAATTAAGACATTTGGTTTCATTTATAATGTTTGTTATTTTGTTGTTTTGACCGACAAAAAGTATCAAAACTAAAGTAGTTTATGTCGTATGCTTTTTACACAGTTGAGACTCACATCTATATATAAAAAACAAAAGTAAGCAATTACTTTACCGTATATAAGAATACATTTTACAGTTGCTTGTACCTGCTAAAATTTCCAACGAATCAAATCCAAGTATTCTATCCCACAGTAAAAGTACTTGATCAGGTGCTAAAAAGCCACTGAATGCACGCATTAGCCATTTAAATGTGAAACGAATACTGAAGAAAAGTTGTTGGAAAGTTAAAAAACATTACTTGTTATTATAACAAGGGATAAAATTTTAAACAATTATGTTATTTTCTTTGTATGTTAAAACTAATTTATTTATATAAACATCTGTTATATACATTTAATAAAATAAATAAATATCATTAGCTTTATTATAATCTAAGATCAGTCTATACGGAGTTATGAATTATATCAATACTATAACAATTGAGTAATTAAATTATTGAGAATAGTCTAGATTGATTCTGTGCACTTGTCATTTAGATCATTCAGTGTCTATGAAAAATCAGTAAGAATAATTTTTATAAATCAGTCGCCATTACTAAGTTACTTATTTCAACCACTTCTAATACGTGGGAAATAATGATTATAAAATTTTTCTGTAGTTATTAATTGGCTGTGCATCTTTTTTTGGTGACAGTGAAAAATATTTCCTCTTCAATCAATCAATCAATCAATCAATCAACAGCAACGTAGAACTTCGTACGTAAGTACATCAGTTCATGTTGCCATACCACGTTAACACGGAGATATAATTTTCGATTCAAATCCAATAGTAGTAGAGATAGTAGAAGTAGTCGGAGAGGTTAGGATTAGAAGATATTAGTCAAGAAGTAGAATCTAGTGAAATAGAGTTAAAAAGATAAAGTGATGAAGAATTAAAAAGTTTAGGATTTGAGAGAACACGAAGAATGAATGCACCTGCGCCATTGCAAACGGTTTTGAGCAATGTCATTTAGGGTTTATAACCATCTATTACTAACATCTCGCGGACCCCAACCAGGCAGTCGACATCTACCAAGATGGCTCAGTCCACTTGTCAGTGAGTTCATGCATTTGTGCCATGTTTTGGTTTGGTGGCCCACAGTTTTCGTCCAACCTACTCCTACTCGCATCCCGAACGTATTTGCATTGTTGCTTAGGGGGGGGGGTCAAACGACTCAGAATTTTTTCGACGTCGTCACCAAATAGAACTATGTTGTCCGCGTATTCTCAGGCAAGAGGCGGGTCTTATGGTAGAAGGTCCACCCCTGAAAATTCAGACGAAGATAATGATATATCTAGAAGCACGTCTGTGACAAAATCAAACAAACTGGACATCTCTGACGGACTCTGCTTGAAGTAATAAATTCTGATGACAGTTCGCCATAAGCTTTAACTCGGTCAGTATTGTTTCAATAACAGACATTGCCAGAAATCCTCACGATCAACAGAGTCAAATGCTCCAATAAGGTCCAGGAAGACAACTATTGCCGGACTTGTCGAAGTTTGAATATGTAGTCTATGCATCCATGTTCAGGTCGTAAGCCAGCCTGGTCTTATCTAGTCTGATCTTCACGAGCTTTAGTTAGACGTCGGATTATTACTGAGACCAATATTTTCGATAGTATATTAGTTAAACCGATTCCTCTGTGATTGTCACAAGAGGACTTCTGTCCTTTTTTGTAGTCTGGGACAATCAGTGATTGAGGTCAGTCAGATGGAATTACGCCCAGTTCCCACATTCTACCCACGATCTCAGTCAATGTAACTGCTCAAAATGAAATACTATCCCTAAAAAGCTCGAAGGTACCCTATCAGGGCTCGCTTCTCTCTTTCACCTTATATTCTCTTTGGCTTCGTCAACTTCATAAATATTCTGAGGACTTACATAAATTTGTCATTCACATTGAGTGGAGATCTTGAGTAACTGAAGGGTAGTTGAAGCGGTCACTGGTGTTCTTCCCATCAATCAGCTCTCCTGGGATGAGATTGAATGGTCTGACCATCCTTTTGTGAGATTCGCTAACAGATGGATTCTTAGTAACGGCTTCGTTGATAATGCGGAAAGGTCGTCTACTGTTGTCTATCATCGTCGCTTTAGTTACCCACCACCGTTTGCAATCATTGCCAAAGCTTTTAAAACAGCCTGCACTTAGGCTGACTCCGATCCCATCGTACTCAGAGCCAGGCGGGATGGGTTTCAGTTCGGTGGATGCTACTGAAATTCCCTGCTACTCCATAACTTTATGGTTTACCCTACTAGCAGATATAACTGCTATTTGTACAGCCTTTTGGATATCATTCCAAGCTGCCTCAAGGTGGGCATCACTTAATACATGGCTGCCTAACTGTTTTTATAGTTGTTCCTAAAATATTTTCCTAGCTATGCTATCATTAAGTAGAGCCCTAAGAGGTTTCCTTGCAGTAATTTTTTTACGTCCAGTAAGCTGCGAACAAATACGCATTCGCACAAGAGCAGTCTGAATAAGTGCTCCAGAATGAGCGGCAGTCTTCAATAGAGCATTTCTAACGATGGCTTATAGCGATGTGATCTAGTTGGGTCCATCCTTTGGTCGACTTTGGGTCTAAAGATGTCTTTCCTTATGCTTAAGGTTAGTGTTTGCTAGAAATAGGCGGTTATCTGAGCATAGCTGCAGCAGACGGTCGCCACTATCTGTTTTTTGAGCCGCGATACTATAAGATCCACCCAGGTGTCTTTCCTCTTGGCCGAGTCTACCTACATGAGCGTTAAAGTCACCAGTCATTATTACTATATCAGAGCGCTTAACATTTTGGAGAAGCTTAGAGAGGTTTCTATAAAACTAATCTTTCGTGTCGTCTGAACTGCAGTCAGTGGGAGCGTAGGCAGAGATAACAAACAGGCAACGGTTTGCGTACCTATTTTTCCGAGTCCTTACTGTCCTGTTTAGTCGGACAGCACACAAGCGACTATCTGCTGGGACCAAGTTTAGGAGAGCTGGTTCTGCCCTACGACTCAATACTATACCTACACCAGCGAGGCCACGGGAAGCAGAATCAAGACTTTCAGATACACGAGGAGTAAATCGAGCCGGTTCCTTATTTTGACAAGGTAAATTCAAATGAATGATTTCGCTTGGATCCTATATGCGCGTTTTGGAGGCGCATCACATATCGGTCAGTCAGTCAGTTAGTTACAATGAAGAAGGTCGTCCAGGCGTACATAAGTTCAGTTTTGCATGGTCCATTACCTCAGAGATTCAAAACCTAGTTCAGGTATCATAGTGGTAAAGATAGTAGAAGTATTAGCGGTAATGGGATGCAGCATACGTCGATGGCGCGAAGAAGCTTATTATCCTACGTAACTCAAGTTTCGAACAATAAAAGCTCCAATATGTAGTTCAGAATGGGGTTTCAGGAGACCAGGAATAACGTTTTTTGAACTCGGATCTTTAGCATCAGCGCCAAGAGGTGACAAAGAAATGAAAGTAGGGTTAATCTGGGAAATAAGACAGTCATTAAGATGTGTAGGAAGATTTGATTGTTACTAATTTGGTCTTGTGTGTTCTTACGGTAGGAGGGCGGATGTCACTTCCCGGCTGCTCACACTATGGAAGGGCGTTTCTTAACGATACTAAAAAAGAAGTTGGATTGGTGTTGATCATAGTGTAGTGAAGGAGAACACAGGTGAGGGCAACCGAATTGTATTTAACGTAAATTACGGAGTTACTCAGTAAAATGGCAAAACCATATCGTAAACGGTTAATTTGAAAATCTTCAATCCGTCATCAATCCATTGTCTGACATTTCACTATTCATGCGTTTCATACAAATTCCATTGTTTTCCCACTCTTCCTTTCTTGATCTTCCCCCATCTTCTGTTGCCAGACTTTACGTTTACACTCACGTCATATACTACTTATAAGTAGCGCGCACCACAATAGGAGCGTGACCGCAAAGTTCAAAGGACATCAGTTGAGGCCGGTCACGCACGGCGTTTTTACAGGAAGTCAACGTGTTAACTCCGCACTTCAAATGGCCTTACTGCCGAAGATGGAAATCCATAAGGTTAGGTGAGGTGTGACATACTTAGGGTCGACCTTTTCTAACCCCTTCCTTCTTTGTGAGAAGGCAGCATCACTGCAGATGCTGCTTGTCCGAGGGAAATACCTTACTGCTGTCACACCTCTCTACAGTCTGCAGTACGACTTCGCCCTCAGACCTTCGGTAGCTGCTTTTAGTCGCATCGTTCTCCAGTCGACCAGCCTGGCATGGTAGAGCCTACAGTAACATATGTTCCAGCCAATGTGGCTCGGTTGAGTCATCACGATAGGCCAGCTTGACACACACGTCAAGGTAGCCGCTACGGCCGATAAAAATATCATGTTTCACGTAAAATTTTCTTTTTTGATTGTGTACAGTTTAAGTTATTCGGGTTATATATTAAAATAGAACTTGCAATGAGACCATGAATTTTCGTTAATAACCACTCTTCGGACAATGTTTACATAAGTTAAATTGACATGAGTGATGTTTGACTTTGCTATTGCAGCAAAAAAAATGAATGAAAATAACCGTTTATTTTAGACATAAAATATCTATTGCTGATGTAGTGCCATATTTTTTAATTCTTTTTACGCATTTTAATGCATCTTATAGTATCCATATCATATAACTTGTAATTGTAATAGTATTTACCTGTGATTAGAGGGATTTACTGACAGTCCAATCGAGCTAAAGTTATGATAAAACCGACTGGTCTGCTTGAAATGATAAGTATGACTTGCTGAAAATTTTGAATTAGAAGCCGAAAGTTAATGAGTGACCCCAAATTTACACCACAGTTGTGGTCGCATTTTGGGACACTTCTTCACGTATGTACCGTTTTCAGCATTTATCGGAATTTATTTTACTCTTTTATCGTAAGTCGATATTTCAAGATAGTTCTACTGTATGGGACAGAAACTTGAAAAACTAACAAAGCCATCATCCAGAAAATACAAGTGTTTATTATCAGTTGTCTACGCAAAATACTTCGTATCCGTTGGCCAGACACCATCGGCAACAACCTACTTTGAGAAAAACAAACCAGATCTCAGTGAAGGAACAAATCAGGGAGAAAAGCTGAAAGTTGATAGCGCACACATTGAGGAAAGCACTCAAATGTGTCACAAAACAAGACCTAACCGTCAAGGTCAAAGGAAAAGAGAAAGGCCAAGGAACTCGTTACGCCGAGAAATGGAGACAGACAAGGAGAATGAACAAAATTTGACAGAACTGGAGAAGAAGGATCAGGACAGAGTAGGTTGGAGAATGCTGGTGGGTGGCCTATGCTCCACTGAGGGTAACAGGCATAAGTAAGTAAGTAAGATATAATACCAGCCATTTCCTAAACTTTTATACACTTTAAATTATGTCAACGAGACACTTAGTCAATGAATGAATAAATTAGATTATTAACTACAAAAAAAACGAGTTTTTTTTTTACCTTAATTAATTCTACTATTCATTGTCATCCCCATTATTATTAAAATTAAGAAATCATATTATTTTAGAGAGGAGATTTTATAGTCTTCATAAAAATTCAACTCACGGTTGTGCACCGACTGATTTTAAATGAAAGAAAATCTCAGGTTCTTTGATTTGTAGCAAACGTTCAAACAATGAACATAAACATAAAATACCCTAATAATTAAGACAGAAACATCGATAAGTAAATTATAAGTTGTAAGTAACTTTCTTATATATGATGTAAATTTTATTTTTTTTATTTTTTCCTATTTTTTTGAGCTTGTAAGATGCTTTTATACTTTATACAACAATGGTTCCTTTTTTACACATTATTCTGCTCCTGGTTTAAATTCTAAATACAATAAATTCGACTGCATATTCAGAGTTATTTCTTAGTCCATTACTAGTCGTCCCATACGTGACTTCTAAGAGTATGGAATAGGACAATTCTGAATATTATCAGTATACGGAATATATAGTAGTTACTTCTTATTAATATCATTTTGTAGTTTTGTAGTTTTCTTTTACTCTCAAGATACAGTGCAGATATTCGTTTTTTTTTATCTATAAGCTATCACAAACAATAAATATTCTTCAGACAAAATAAAGTTGTTTTTTTTATGATTTATGCATATGTAAAAGTTGTAATATGTAAATGTTAATTAAACTTACACTATTTTCGTCAGATATTGTATGTAATTTGTAAAAGTAACGTACATATAATTGACGAAATATTATATACAAAGTAACTGGATCGTCATACAAATAACATAATGGTAACACTATAATAATAATAAGGAAAAAAACGTTAGACGTATGAATAAAATAAAACTCGTATAATAATTAAAAAATTTATCATTAATAATTTTTAAGGTCTACTGTGGTGCTGTGGTGCGAGCTACTTATAAGTAGTATATGACGTGAGCGTCAACGTAATGTCTGGCAGCGGAACATGGGGGAAGATCAAGAAAGGAAGAGTTGGAAAACAATGGAATTTGTATGAAACGCATGAATAGTGACAATGGATTGATGTTTTGCAACAGGAACAGTCCAGTTCGAAATGATGAACTGATATTCTGCAAATGAACGATTTACGATATGGTTTTCCAATTTTACTGAGTAACTCTGTAATTTTCGTCAAATACAATTCGGTTGCCTCACCTGTGTTCTCATTCACTACACTACAACTGAATCAATCTGACTTGAAAATGACATAAACCCATCATTATTTTATTTTGATTGTGTACTAAATAAATGTATTTTGCATTCTTTCCTTTTTTTAATTACTTGAAGCATGTGTGTTAATTTATTTCGGTTATTAATTTATTTACCACGAACTGATTTGTATTAAATCATGAAACACTGTGGTGCGAGCTACTTATAAGTAGTATATGACGCGAGTGTAAACGTAATGTCTGGCATCAGAAGATGGAGGGAAGATCAAGAAAGGAAGAGTTAGAACACAATCGAATTTGTATGAAACTCATGAATAGTGAAATGTCAGACAATGGATTGATGTTTTGCAAATTAAAGGTTTACGATATGGTTTTCCCATTTCACCAATTAACTCTGTAATTTGAGATAAATACAATTCGGTTGCCCTCACCTGTGTTATCCTTCACTACAACACCAAAAATACAGATATCTGCTCATTGCGATATCACAAAAATTATGAATAATTTATTATAAGCATTATTAATGTAAGCTTCGAATAATTTGAACATATGAATTAATCAATCATATGAAGTGCAGAAATTTCAAATAAGGAGAAGTAAGATTTTTTAGCATTTTTTTTTCATAATGTACCCGTCGTTACAATAAGATGACGTTTCGCTGTGCTAATATAAATTATGGTAGTTCCGTGTTGTGCTATTACTTCAATGAACCTGTTACCCCTTGTGGAGCAGAGGCTGCCGACAAGCATTCTCCAACCCACACTGTCTTGGGCTCTTCTTTCCAGCTGTCTCAAGTGCCTTTTATTCGATTGATGACTGACTCCTATTGACAGTGCAGCGTGTTTCTTGGTCTGCCTCTTTTCTTTTGGCCTTGAGAATCCCAATCCACGGCTTCCCTCGTGACGCAGTTAGGTGATTTCTGTAATATGTCCTATCCATCTCACAACAGGTATGTGAAAGTCTCCACATCTTCGAAAGCTTCTCCGTCAAGTGTGATTTGGTTGGTGCTGAGTTCTGCTTTCTTTGGTATCCTGATGAGATGTCCTTTTTCCAATCTCTCAGTACTTGTTCTTCGTCCCAAATCTTTCTGCACAGAGTGTGGAGAATCTTTGCTTTCATTGATAAATCTGCTTTAATGCCTTAGCTGGTATGTTGTCTCAGCTCGTTGCTTTGTAACTCTTGATTTTTCAGATGGCCTTGCTGACTTCTTCGATTGTTTTGTGTTAACATCAATTGGTTGGTCCGTCTGTACTGCTTCGATGACCGGTAGGTGTAGTTAGGCTGTTTTGTTCAAGAGTTCTCCGAAGTGCTCTACACGCCGGTTTCGCAGTTCTTGGATGTTGGCGATTATTTTCTCCTACTTTTTCTTAACTGGTCGTTCTGGTTTACTACATATTGCTGCTTGTTTCTTCGTTGTATCATATGCTTGTTTCCTATTTCGTTCGTGTCTTCCAAATATTTCCGTTCGTCATCTCTAATGATTCTTTTCACCTACTTGTTTGCTTATGCGTATTCAGCTTGTGCCTTGACTTTTTCTACTCTTGTTCGGCTGTTATTGATGGATGTCTTCCTGTGCTTCCTTTCTTCGATCTTATCCACAGTATCAACAGAGACCCATTTCTTATGATGATGATTCTTGTGACCCAGAACTTCAAAATATTCTGAAGTTAATGCCTCTTTGATCGCTTTTCCAATTGTTCTCCACGGTAGTCTCCTCTTCGTTGGGTAGATCGTGAAAGGCTTGACACTTATTGATGAGAGCTGTCTTGAATTGGTCGAGGTTGCCAGTATCTCGAAGAAAGGCTGTATTAAACCTTTGTAATGTTGTTCACCCAGTTGTCCGGTGTTTTTACAGAATCGGTTTCAATTTTGTCAGCACCAGGTGGTGATCTGGAGGGATATCAGCTCCTTACTTTTTTCTCATGTCAGTAATCAAAGAATGTTGATAGGAGTTAATACCTGAAATTCTTTTTTATCTATGTTATCCTATCTTAATCAGAAATCGATTAATGTTAGTAGTGGTGTAGAAAATTTGCAGCTCACGGGGATGATTTTGTTGGAGTTTCGTTCTCATAGCTGGATGTTTTGGTTGTGGAGCATCTTTGTTTTGATTGTATACAGACAACGCCAGATCGTGGTCAACAGAACAAGCTACGAGTCATAAATGAGGAAAAGCAAATACTTGACTTCTATCTGAAGTTGGTGCTGATGATGTTGTTCCGAAGAACAATCAGTCAGTCAGTCAGATGCAACGTAGAACTTCGTACGTAAGTACATCAGTTCATGTTGCCATACAGAGATGTTGCCAGCACAGAGATGTAATTGTCAATTCAAATCCAACAATAGAAGAGGTAGTAAAGGTATCAGAAGTAATCGGAGAGGTTAGGATTAGAAGATATAATTCAAGAAGTATGATTCAGTGAGAAAAGTTTAGAAAGTCGAAACTAGAGGTGTTGAAGAATCCAGAAGATTAGGATTTGAGAGAACACAAAGAAGAACAAAGAAAGCTCCACAATTGAATCATTCAGCTCAGTGAACAAAACTCCATCACGAACGTTAGTATTACTTGGTTAACTCGACTAAACAGAAATAAAAGAAAAAACTAAGCTCTATTTGCGGCTTGTTAGTACTTACAAGTTATTAAAATGACATTATTATTATTATTATTATCGTTGGCTAGATGTGCGACAAATGTTCCTCATTAAAGCTGCTCCACATTTAAATCGGACTAGACTTACTTCCTTGTTACATGACCTGACTTGAAAAGATGTCTCGATTTCTCGATGCTTTAGTTACCGTATTACGGTATATACGAAATTCACGTGGCGTGAGGAAATGCTAACATACCATGGATTAGAGTCATGAAGGAATTAGAGATCAGTCATACACAAGAGTTTAAGGTATATTCTTGAAATTAACTGGAATAAATTCAAATTGGAAAATCAATGAACACTTACTATACATAGAAAAACCATGAAATGGTATGACTCCAGAAGGTGGATAAGTGTATGCTTCTGTAGAATTTTTATTGATCACTTTTGGTGGTGATGCAAGCATTGTTTTAAAATGCAATAATATGGTCTGATCTCTTGTGAAAGGTAAAAGAATCTGGTAAAATAAAATATTAGGTATACATATATATTCTATCAATTATTTTTGTTCATGTAAATGTTAAGTAGTGAGTAACGCATAAATTTCAGTGTGCATTTTTTCTATTGGTTATGTTACATACTGTATGAGGTAATTTTAACATGTAATGAGCAGAAAAACATAAACAGTAAGATATTTATTTGCTTGAATTTTATATTTCAATTACTATAATGATACTAAAGATGGAAACCTTTGAGTAATTTTGAAACAATAAAATGTTTAGGATTGAGTGCTATGGAACCACCACCTTGTTCATAAAACCACGGTAAATAGTATACTTTTTTGTGAATTTGACCAACATCAATTGTTACTGACTGTTCCAAACTCTAAATTACTGTGTTTCATGTCTATGGCGTGGCGTACAGATGACTGATATAAAAATCTACTTGCTTTTGTGTAAAAATATGTGATCTTCAAGTAGTCTGTAGTTTCATATTTGTGAAATTCTTAGCAGTGATTGGGATTCAATCTATCACGTCGAAGTATGGTCAATAGTCTAGGCGACTCGATATTATGTGCATCATTTGTTAATGTAGCTCAAGGAAATCGGCAGGAAACGCCTACTTCTTATTATGGGATTTTATCGTAGGGTTATTAATAGAAGAGCTTAGAGTATAAGATATCAATTGAAAATTATTTTTGATAATTTCTAGTGATGTTGTTCTTATCCGTGATTCAATTTATGGGTTTTATAATGGCTTATAGGTACGAATCTAATATCGGAACACTACTAGTCTTGAATAGAAAGAACTCTGATACATACAAATGACTAGTTTTAAATTGTTGTACTACTTTTTCATTCGTGTCATTACTAAGCCCTAATAAAATTTACAGTGTCATTGATTAATCATCGTGAATAGACCTTTTATTGTGTTCTAAATGAAAGAAAATAACTCTAGTGAAGAAAATTACATTAAATCATGGATGCGTTTATTTCCTCTGATTCAACCTTTGCTTTATGTGTTGGTTGATAAAAGTAAAAGGAATTGGATTGATCCTAGAATGTGAGTAGTGAAGGAGAACACAGGTGAGGGCAACCGAATTGTATTTAACGAAAATTACAGAGTTACTCAGTAAAATAGGAAAACCATATCGTAAACCATTAATTTGCAAATCGTCAATCCATTGTCTGACATTTCACTATTCATGCGTTTCATACAAATTCCATTGTTTTCCCACTCTTCCTTTCTTGATCTTCCTCCCATCTTCTGCTGCCAGACATTACGTTGACACTCGCGTCATATACTACTTATAAGTAGCGCGCACCACATATGTATTGAATTTGAGGATCACAATAATTATAGCTGCTATCCAACAATGTAGGTTATTATTTTAATTGAATGTATATAGCAAAATAAAATCTTAAATCCATGATTCATTTTATCATAAGTCAACCTCAAGTTAATAAATGACTCAATGATTTAAATTAAACAATAATTATTTATTTGGTTTAAAATATTTAAAATGAAAGAAAATTATATATTAGATAAATTTTAATAAAAAAATTAATTTACCTGATATGTATAATCACAAAATACAAAATGCATTTCATCATTGGAGGCGGTAAGTTGTACTTCCTAAAGATAATGAACAAATTGTTGATTAAATAAACGTATGTAGAATATAATCGTAATTCAATGGTACCTTGCAAATTAATTGATCTGTCATATATTCATTTTCTGCAACAGATAATTTCAATTGATCATAATAAAGACGATCCTGTAAATGTAGAAAATCATGCACGTTTCGATAAATAATTATAATATTTTGGCAACAATAATAGTCATTAAATAAAATCAGTCAGTCAGTATTTGATTTTGACCGATTTGATCTCGTGTGCTGGTATGGGTATGAGGGCGGTTATCACTTCCCGGCTGCCCACACCGTGGAAGGTTGTTTCTTGAGGAACCTGAAAAGGAAGATAGATTAGTGTTGGTCTTGGAGACCTGGGTGCGTGACCGCAGAGTCCAAGGGACAACTGCTTGAGGCCGGTCACGCACGGCCTTTTTATGAGAAGTTTTTTGAGTGTTAGCTCCGCTCTTGAAAGCCCTTAGTGGGCACTCTTACTGACGGAGACGGAAATCCGTGAGATACGGTGAGGTGTGACATTTTTAGGGTCAACCGTTTCAAACCCTTCCTTCCTTGTGAGAAGGCAGCATCACTGCAGATGCTGGTTGTCCGAGGGAAACACCTTACTGCTGTCACACCCCTCTGCAGTCAGCAGTACGACTTCGCCCTCAGACCTTCAGTAGCTGCTTTTAGTCTCATCGCTCTCCAATCGACGTGCCTGGCATGGTAGAACCTTCAGGAACATAAGTTCCAGCCAATATAGCTCGGTTGGGTCATCACGATAGGCATCCCGACCACCACGTCAAGGTAGCAGCTTCGGTGTTTTATAATATTTGGATCATTAGGTTTTATAATAATCGTTCATGTAGCTAATTGATGTTCAAATTATTACTGAAAACAAAATTATATGAAGAGTCTTAAAGAATAATTTTTTAAAGTTTCCAAATATCAATTTAAAAAAATTCAACTTTTCGGTGTATTTAATTGATCCAGTAACTGAGTACATCGAGAAACTGTATACGATTGTTGTTTGCAATCGTTAGATACCGGCTCAGTGGTCTAACGGTTAGGGCGTTCGCGCACAATACCGAAGGTCCTGGGTTCGAATACTGCGGGGTGCAGGAGTCGTGTATGCGCACTGCTGATGAGTCCCACGCCGGGACGAAACGGCCGTCCAGTGCTTCCAGGTTTCTAATGGTGGTCTAACATTGATCGATTCACGGTTTCTAAATATAACTTAACAATCTTCACAACAACCCCGCAATGATAAATAAATTGTCGAACTATTTGAATAATTTAGTTAGTTAAGCTAATTCATTGAATTCTCTATATCCTTCTTCAATGTTACAAAATTAATCCATGTTGATGCAATGAAACAATTTGTTTATGAAAAAAAAACTTAAAGGTATTTATTACGATTGGTAATTTTTTTAAAGATTTTTACTTGATGCAAATCATGATATATATATATATATATATATATATATACTTGTTCAATGTGTATATTTTAGTGTGTTTTTTTTCAACTGTACAATCGGAATTCGATTAATATATAACATCAGTTAATAATGTGCATAATTCCGACTGGGTTAGTTTTGATTTTGAAATTCTTTCATTTAAATCGTAGCTTGGACTTTCTTGAAAAGCTAGAAAATACAACTATTTTTTGTAACATTAATTTATTTAGTAAGAATTAAATTAAGATATCCATTAGTGACCCGATCAGCGATTGGTCATAATAACTACATAAAATAAAACACAGACATAATAAAGATTGGCTAACGTCTTGAAAATAAATCAAATTCTTAAAAAGAAACATATTACAATTGGATTGCCTTACTGATAATACATACATTAAGATCATGATGAATTAAGACTTACGTGTTCTGTTACTTTTGCATTTAAACACAAAGTCCATAATCGCGCACGATAACCTAATGGGCAACCATAACGCAAAAACTGTTGTGCCATTTCAGAAGAATCAAGCCTTATAACTGATTTTTTTTTTAAAGAAAAGAAATTAAATTGAAAAGAATAACTATGGTATACTTTCTTTAGCTTCATGTTCACGTACTTGTTCAAATGTGGACATAGATGAGTCATCAACACCAATTTGGGAATATTTAATGTGTAAAGGTTCATAAAACCTTCTCTAACTGTTGTAAGCAACATTACAAATTGTTAACATACTAATTCGAACAGATTTTTAACATTTAATGGTAAATTTATTAAACCCCAATTCGGAATCATTGTTGAATTATAACTATTGTGAAAAGTAAAATAATGATTATTACAATATGATAAACAAAAAGTTTACTTATTAAATGTGGATTTGAATTGAGGATATTTAATATTGGTAAGAACATCCAATAGATCTTTCGGACCAAAAACAGGTTTAATAATTGAGTGTCCTGTACAGGTTTATGCAATTATTATTATTTAGGGAAAATAACATGATTTTACTGTTGAAAAATACCGATAATTCTGTCCAGTTTTGTAAAACAGCTTCTTTGTGACTTTTTGACCTCTTAAGAAGGAAATAAAACAATAAAAGCTATCATAATACTATTCAATTTACTTTTCTTGCTAAAGGTATTCCAAGCTCTTGGCACATTGAATTTAAACTTCGTAACATTTTACGCTCCCAAGTAACCTGAAACAAATTCATTAAAATCACTTTCAAGTTAATGGAAAATGACATACTTGAGCTTTTTTCAAATAGTTGCAACTGCATGCGTTGTTTGAATAATGTTCATTTGCAATGTTTTGTTTTAATTGCAACAAGACAGTAGGCTTGTGTGTAAACATCCAATTTTTAAGAGCTTGGTAGCCATCACTTTCTAACAGTAACTTGTATACACAATCTATTTTATCGCTAGATGTTTCTTTAGAATTACCAACAAGCACCTAAACACAATTTTTGAACGTGAAATTTCATCGTAAAGAGGGGTTTTACATAAGACAAGCATGAAAATAAATAAGTTGAGACTCATATGAAAATTTAAAATACCCATATTTTTTAAAAGTTAGCGTTCAGTACATTCAACAGCCCCTTATAATACGATATAATCAAACGATTGGATGTTTTATAAATGAGAGATTCTATAAACAACAGATGTTAATCGAAACTTTGGAGATATATTTAGAAGGATCTGGTAAATGTTAGTAAACCTAAAAGTTCTCATTACAAGGATCAAATTGTGTTGTTAGAAGAAATTGCAGTTTAAGCATTATGTTTGTTGCTTTTGATTTCAACTTGGGGTAGATATCTACCGTTATTCTATTAAAGAGTTTGTAAAAAGGAGAAAACAAATACTTCGTACTTTGTTATTTCCAACACTACTTAAATGACCCATAGTGATTGTCAACGAGGGGTTCTGAGTTCTCCATGATTTTAACAATCAATGTATTACGTCTCAAGATTAGAAAGATTTAAGAAAATCCTTATCGTCAAATTCTATTTTCATGAAAAGTACTATAATGATAAACGACCTACAAACAATCCACCTCCTAATGTAAAGTCTTTTGATAAATTCTGTCCTTGAATCATTATGCCTGCAAATATCGATATTTAATTTAAAAAATTTAACCGGGTTTGGGTGTCGTGAAATATTTTCAGGGTTTTGATGACAAGGTTTCTCGCTTCAGTTTTAAGTAGTATAATACATTTGTTGTGTTTGAAAGAGTTACTTTCATTTGAGCATATCAGGACTTTTTACATTAACTGAATAAAATACTGTGCATCAAATGAATGCATTGAAGCTACGTAAAATCATCAAAAGTGTAGCTATCAGAAATATTTCTGAGTAAAGTAAGCTTTTGTACTGGCATTTAGGGATGCTAAATGCCAGAAATAGAAAGGTCAGCTTTCTTTCTTAGGATATTTTATTTGTGAGTAGCTGGGGCTAGGAGATGACAAAGCTGATTTAAGCGTAATTGGAGTTTGTTTAAGTGATCGCCACTGTCTAACAAACCTAATAATAACGAACATATCTACTATTTACAACCCTTCATTACATTTATTGATCCATCTGTATTTCCCAATTGATAAATTCACTGCTGTCTACGTTTGAGTTATCAAATTTACCTATCATAGTGTAAGTTATATTTCATTAACCGATCCAAATAAAATAGATAATGAAATAAAAGTCAAAAATCCAAATACAAGCTGATCGTACAAAAATGGTCACTTGTCATACGTTATATCCCCTTTTTACTTGCTACTTCACTCACGTTTGAATAAATAGATGTAATTTGCATGTAATTCACATGATAAAATCCCCAGGAATAATTAACACTTTTTGAAAACTACTAATTCAATATCCTTAAAAAAGTACAATCAAGTTTCTACACACAAAAAATGAATACATCAATTATTTAATTGGACTGTAAAATAATCTATACAAATATTCATCAATATATGTGAGTGAGTAGTTTGACATGTATGAATAATTCACTTACCATTGCGTCATCCAACAATTTCATTTCTATCCTACTAGATTTTATAGCTTTAATGAGCTCACATAGAATAATCTCCTCGTTAACAACAAGATGGTCACACATGCTTAGACGAATCATCATACAAAAAGCTGGTAAACGTTAGTCGAATAGCCTTTAGTTATCAGGAATGTGACTAACAGTTATAAGCTTATCCAAAGTTGATCAACTAAATTTTAAAATAGATCAAAGGAACATGTAAGACAGAGGAGTACCATCGGTAATCAATATAAAAAGGAAAAAATAAACGTAACCACCTTAAAAACAATACACAGTATACAAGTATTATACAGATACGAGTCCTGATTGATATATAAACAATAATAACCTTCTGAGTTGCTCATCACCTTAATTTCACTAGATTATATTTCTTGAATAATATCCTCGAATCCTAATCTCTCCGAATACTACTTATTCTACTACTACATCTACTACCATGAGATTTGAACTGACAATTACCTTTCTGTACTAATGCGGTATTGCAACTAGAACTGATATACTTACGCACAAAGTTCCACGTTGTAACTGGATAATAGTCTACCTCTTTATAATAATTGCTAAAGATAAAAGGAAGAATTCGACCAAATGACGAAATGGCTAATCACATGATATGTGAAAATACAAACTAATATCTTATTCCGATAAAAAGCCCTATCTTGTTTAAACGGCGGCGAAACCATTAGTATTATAAAGTCAAACATTTTTGGAGCTAGAAAAATAAATCATGTCAAGCTCTTGAACCTAGTGTCTACAGTCTCAATAATCTTGAATGTTAACAGCTCATGACTAAAAAGATTCATCATAATATGTGGACCATATACTGGTGACTTTTAAATACTCAGAGAATTTTTTATTAGAAATTGTTCTGATGTGTTATTAACAAAAACGTTGACTGCATTGATACCGGATTATTATTAACCTTAGGATCAAGTAAAGCAGTTTTAAAAATACAGAGTATAATTAGGACAGTATTTTTTTTACGAAACAATTCAATAAATTTGTAGTAACGACGAAGTCAGTCAAAAACTTCTTTTTTTGAAATATGACTTTATTTATGGTACAGCCAGTTAACAGTATGACTGATGAGTTACATCTAACGACTTGGAAAATTTAAGTATTAGATGGGGGAAATACTGAAAATGGGAACATAGCATTTACTTGAAACAAATAATCTGGTCATTTTCTCCTTATGAAATCAACCACTTATTCCTAGTCTTCTCTAAATCATTTAGTTAAACTGGTAGTTTAGCTTAACCGAAAATTTCAGCCCAAACTTATATTTGCTTTCGTCACTGATATATGTAACATATATTACTTGACTTAATTTGTTGTTCAGTAGGCACAATAATCAAGCCTTCATTTTGTTACGCTAAACTATCTTAAACCGCAATTAAGTTTATATTTGATACTAGTATCATCATATTATTCTCGCAAACAACTCACGAAAACTAGTAAACCCTCTTCAAATACTAGATGTATAGCGTTTCTGAGAGAATAACAAATATCTTTTTAAGCTATTCGTACGTTTTAAATGGAAACAACGGATTGTTGTGGTTAGAAAATAACCAGTACATGTATGTATTTGTCCGGGTTGCTTCCAGTAAATAAACAAGACGATAAGCAAAGAATGTCATTTACAGTAGAAGTTTTTGCCAAAAGTATTTGCTTCAAAAGTTAAGATGAAAAATTCCATTTAAACCAATATTTCAGGGAAACATGGAACAAATTCTACTGCATTGCTGCAACTTATCTTGAGGCATACCCTTGAAAACATGTGATTATCAATCAGAAGTACTAGCCTGATCTTATTTAAGAAATGTTCAGCATGCAGGAACCTTATGCGCAGGTTGTCTATCTCGGTCTCCTCTGCCGAATTCCTTTAAAATTATTAGTATGTAATACAGCGGTATTATGTTCAAGCAAGATGGTAATATATATACAACAAACATTCTAGTTATCTCAAATGATGGGTTTTGAAGCCTTATTAACATTTTGTTTTAACTATAAAGACCGAAACTATATATATTATACACAACTACTCTTGTAAAAAAACTGGGGCCATTCACAAAAAATAACTTCAGATCCAATTATTAGGGTTCACATTAAAATACTTTAAAGTGAAACTATGTAGATCAGATGCATAATGTAAATTGTGGATCCTCAAAATGCAAATATGATGATCTATACGTAAAGGTGCGATTTCCGAGCGTTAGTGTTTAAAGCACTTATAATGGTGATAGTAGATCCATAAGAGAGTAAGCAGCTCAGTGACACCGGTAATATACATAAACCACAAACAATATTCAAATCAGGCTATGCTGGGATAAAAGTGAGAGCAGGTTTCGTGTGAGCATAAAATCGTGTTAAATAATGTCGGAATCGAAAGATAAACAATGAGTTGAAACAAGTCATTTACCAAATAAATAATATTTTCAAGAATTATCTGGTTGTTCAGATACAAAAATAGTCAAGCTAGTGAATAGTTCATTACTGAGCGCCTTTCTAATATAAGAAGCTATGAACAGATGCAATCGAGTATCGAAATTCTGCCGGACAAGGATGCGATTTCTTTACAAAAAGAGAAACTCCTAGGGGTGCTAAGAGATGAAATCTATCGCACTGAGAATCAAGGCTGTAAAGCAATCAAGCTTCATAATCACGGTCATTTCCTGCTGATTTTTCTATGACGTAAAGGCAAAAGGATCTACCCCAACAATTAATTGTAGCCATGATTCAACAGTTAATTTTCAGGAAATTCATAAGACAGGCTCTGTGAAGCTTAGAAAATACTCGTCAGGATCAGGCTCAGAAAAGTCAGGAACAGTTAGCAACAACAGAATCAATCCGAGAGTTAAAAGTGAATGAGGAAGAGCAGGGTTTCAAGTATGCAAAAGTTTGTAGTTATTTATGTCTAGCGTGAAGGGGCTACTTACATAGGTGGGGATTTTACTGAAAATCTAGTGACAAAAAAGATAAGAATTTAGCAGCTTGCATCTGGCCCTATGTAAAATTTTGCACTATAAAAGCATTCACAATAGCGTGAACGGCGAAAACTGGAAAACATGATAACAATGAAAAGATGGGCAGACGACTGAAGAAGCACATATGACGAATTTACTTTTATAAGAGCAATACTAATAAACGATAAATCATCATGCAAGCTTCATACTCAGAGGATCTGGAGAAACTTAGAGCAAATCGAGTGAAGAATTTAAACCATTACACCTGAACATTTCGAAGTGGTTTAACAGCCCATGTAACCACTAACATGTAATTGTGGAGCAGAAAAACAATATTCACAGTAACTTTCAATATCCAATACTTACTTCAGGAGCTATTTTTAACCAGTCGATTTCTTTCCAGGTGTTTGATAGTGTTCAAAGGATAAGGATCTGGCCACTCGCTTGCCTAATTATAGTCAGTTGATTTGTGAGTTTGTATATACCGTGCTTCGAATGAATACTTTTATTTCCGGACAGTAGGGTTTCTGGATACCAGCAGCTATCACAGAGATCAGTCAGTTGCAGTGTGAAGAATAGTAGGGAGGGAAGGCTTATAATACTAAGAATAAGAATTCAGAACTAAGTTTATAAATAGATAATTTAATTTATTAATACAATACAAATTCAGAATCATCCGATGAGTCATTATTTGCGTCGGTATCAAGAGAATCTGAAGTTCTCATTTATCTCCAGAATAAGGATTAGTCAAAGAATTGTAATTATGTATACTTCAATCATCATTTTTCAACTGGTCAACTTGTCTGATATGAACTAAATGCTCATTCACATCAACAGCCCATACCATCCGATCATCCATTATCTTAATGATGATTCCCGTATATGATCGATGATCATTTCTTTGATAAAACTGTACTTTGGATAATATTTTCTTCATCAAACGAAAATGAAATAAGATATTATTGACGAAATTTTATAGCCCTTCCAGATCTCTTGAATTTACTGATGCGATAGAGCTATTCAAAGTTTTAAAAAATTTTCCGCTAACACATTAGACTGAAGACAGCATGGAGCTATAAACAAATGATGGCATCCATCATCGTTACACCAGCTGTTGAATTCATTTCCTGTAAAATGAGTTCCATTAGCAGTATTGCTAGTGCTACCTCTAGTCATTTGGAATATGAATCAATAATAACTAAAGTATAGTGAGTTTAGGAATGTTCCTTAGTAATTCGCATGAATACGTTTTTGGGGTCAATGAGATGCTGGCCAAGCATTTCTGGTAGATTTGCTGTGTGAAAAAGCATGATAGCCTTTAGATTTCTGACTGAGATCAGCATCACTCTCAGGCCACCATCAAGTCTGACAAACGTGTCGTTTCATTTTCTCTGCTCTAGTTTGCGGATTAAAGATAATCTAATACTTCGTTCCTAAGTGTTGGGGGAAAAAATTAACTTAATAATAAAGCAGAAAAAGCCTCGAGAATGAAGTGACAGTTTTTTTCATTTTGTAAAATTCAAGAAGCCCATGCTTGCACAAAACATTCCGAACCGTCCGCGCTGTACATGTAACTGTTCCGAAGTACTGGCGAGTATCGTTTACAAGTTCATTTATATCGACAGACAATGGTTGGACTAACATAAGATTGCTTTCGTTTAGCGGCCTTTCAAAGTGTGAATAGAGTGACTCGAAGTATGCTTATGTTATATTGTGAACCACTAGGTGCTTAAGAGTTAAATGATAGGCACGGGATTCAGAACTCTGTCTCTGAATGACAGCTGACGAAGCTCAATGGAGTGATATAGCTGAGTGACATGTACACTGTAACTCCTGATGATCAGTTAGAGTATGGAATTTTACACCAAACAGGTGCATATGCAGTCTTCCTATAGCCCATACTTGGGCCGAAGCCCCATTTCGGGTATGGGAATATCTGTAGTGAAATGCTTTTGCGAAGAGGCGGAAACATTTATTATTGTACAAAATTGTCGCAATGACTTTTTGTTGAACTGTACTAAAAACCATTGCTTACGCGCAAATTTCTGTTTATGTTGCAGCCATCCTCGATGTAGCTACCCTTTATTTCGCCCACTTTATTGGTGTAATTTCGGTGGTCTTTGAACACCACGAAATCGCCAGTAAATATATTCTTTAACCTGGATTTGCTTGTCTTTTCTGTGGCGGGCTAGTAAAAAGTATTTAGTGATGATCACAAGCAATCTCAACTCGACTCATTCACTAAATATCCTTATTCATTCTTGCCTAATCCTCTTGGAATTAATTTAACAAATTTTCCCTTATTTTCAGAAACCACAACAAACCCTCATGGAGTTTCATCATTTGTGAAAACGGAATTTTCAGTTTTTGAAAAGGATCTGAGAAAGGCTCCATTGTTTAGGACTGTGAAATATTTCTCAGTACATTCTCTAATCGTTGCTCCCATACGAACTCTTCACTAGAAACTTAGTCAAAAAACGATTACAATGTTTGTACGAATTTCGTAAGGAACCTGAAATAGATTTGAGGAGCACGAATCCATGATCTGAATGCTCAGATAGTTGTAGGTGACGGTCCTTGAGTAGATGAAGCTAGACAACTCGTATAAAATTTAAAACCTTAAGCATCTATGGTAACATTGCACTGGTGTTAACTTCCTACCAAGAAATCCTATAACAAGAAAATCTGGACAGTCATACAGAAATAGAGCTCATTAATAACTTCTTGAGCCACTGCGTTGAAAATAAAAAAAAAATAAAATAAAAGCATAAGATTACTGAGCATCATTATTATATCCTGTAAATGAACATTGTTGCTGACAATTTGGTTCCTCTGAATTTCCTCCATTCATATGATTATTCGTCTATTCGTTATCTTACTATTGAATTGCCTTCATTACCCTACATAAATGCAGGTGTACTGTTGGTGTTCTAATGAAAAAAAAGTCTAAGTAATCATACCTTTTTTTATCCAGAAACGTATGTGCTGAGTCATTGTTCGTCTTTGAACAAGAATATTTTCTATACTGCTCCTCGCCCCGTTCTCTTTTCCTCTTTTTTTAGCACCTTATTCTAATACCTATGTATTAGACTGGATATATGCCGAAGACTTGGTTACTTAACTCAAGGGCCTGTTAATTTATCAACCAGTTCTTGGCACATTTACCTCATCAATTCTTGTTATATGCAGATCTGGCTATACCTTGCATTATTTCACGGTCATTAAGAAGCTCGTCGTAACGCAAACGCCGCAACTCGCGCGTTGTACATTGAAGACCATCTAATTGGAGCCAGTGTATCTTATGAAATATTTCAGTGACTGTACACCGCTTTAAAAGAAATATGTTGCTAATCTTAACATTTTGATCTTGCCTGTAAATCGGCATACCTCCTGTAACATGTTCGTTATTTGAGAATACTTTATAATTATTATTATTATTAACTATGTCATCGGCGTATTCTAGGTAAGTAAGAGATTTTCCTGGTAGAAAGTCCACTCGTGAAAATTCAGACGAGGATAAGGTTACAACTAGGAGCAAGTCTATGACGAAATTAAACAAGAATTAGGAAAGTTGACGTCACTGACAGTTCGCCATAAGCTCTCACTCGACCAGTAGTTTTAGAGTAGAGAGCGTGTATAAAATTAATGTACTTCTTTCGTACAACTTTCAAACACAGTCACTGCAACAGAAATTCACGATCAACGAAGTCGAATACCGCCTTAAGTTCCAAGAAAACCACTACTGTAGGACGCCTAAATGTATGCATACGTTCCAGGACCTGTCTTAGTGTTATTATGAAAATGAAGTAAATATATGTAACCAGATTGTTCGAGAAGTATAGCGCAAATAAATCACATTTTTCAGATCAATTACGTCTTCTCACTGTTCTGTCAAAGTTTGTTTGTCCCGTGATTTGTAGGAAAACGTATGTTTCAGAGCAGTAGTGTTTCTGGATGCCAGTAGCTATCACAAACCAGACCGGAGACAAGTAAGTTGCAATGTGGAGAATTTTAAGGAGAACATTACCACTGTTCTAACAAACAAACTCACAACCAACTGCCATCTGACTAGAGTTAGACAGCCTAGAGGCTAGACTCTCATTCATTGGATACTACCAAACATCTGAAACTGTACAGAGAGAACAAGAATCGAGCGCAAATAAATCAATCGATTTATGCTAGCTCTTGGAAAAGATATTGGATATTGAGTCGGATGTGTGTGACCTACAGTAAGCAGTTGAAGTGTGACGCATTCGAAACATTACGCTACCATCTCCTAGTTTAGATCATCAGTTTGTCTTTATGTGATGTTTGTGTCACTCCTGATTATTCTCGGTTGATTTCTGTACCAAACGTAAGTGTATTCTGTGTTCTTTCTGAGTCATCGGCTCACTTTTTACTCTTCAGATAAACTCACGAACTGCTAACAACCCCCCATTACTTCAGAATAAACACAAACTAACCAAAGCCTGACGTTACAGAAGTGTGATGCGTAGAAAGATAGAGATCTCTAGATCCCCTAGTGGCTATGGCTTTCGTCTGAGGAACGAATGTCCCTGCCTCATAGATCATGTTTTAACTGGATCTGCTGCAGAAAAATCAGGGGTTCGGACTGGTGATATATTGCTCAAAGTAAATGGTGTGGATGTGTTCAATGTTTCACACGAAGAAGTTGCTTTGTTGATTTGGCAGTGTCGCACAAAGTTATATATCGAGGTTTTTTTGCTTCCAACTAAAATATATTTTTAGGTGGTTTCACAAGAATCAGAACTTAGTCAGTGCATCACCAGTCCATCGGAAGTCAGTTCATTAAACTCACGCTGTATGATTGGTTGCAAACAGAAAACCTTCTATAGATCAACCTCCATGTTTGTTTATGTAGGCTGTGTACCTGTGCCCACCGATTTTAAGTCATGCATAAAAGATCTGTCAGTTCTAAGAAGGAAAACCAACTCTATGGTTAATAAAATACAAGTCAACTCCATCTCAATTTGTCTGGTCAGTGTCTCAGACGTTCTTCAAGTTCGCCTTCATGATACTTACATTGCGAAATACCCGGCTAGCTGTTTGTATGCAGCTGGTCTCGTTGATTTCGATGAAAAGTTCTTTTACGTTGTTACTCGCAGTAGGACCAAAGGTAATAATGCAATGTGTGGTGGTGAGTCTAGCTTATCTGTATGTATATTCATGTATCTGTGCAGAAGATTTATGATGATGTTTGTAACTCATATAATATCTAATTAAATTATGAGCCACTATACAGTCAGTCAGTTTTTTAATGAATTTGGTCTCGTGTGTTGTTACGGGTATGAGGGCGGATGTCGATTTCCGGCTGCCTACACTGTGGAAGGGTTTTTCTTGAGGAACCTGAGACGGAAGGTAGATTAGTGTTAGTCTTAGAAACCTGGGAGCGTGACCACACAGCCTAAGGGACAGCTGCTTGAGGCCGGCCGCGCACGATGTGTTAGCTCCGCCCTTGTTTGGAAGACCTTACAGCCGAAGATGGAAATCCATGGGATAAGGTGGTGTGACATTTTCAGGGTCTACCTTTTCTAGCCCTTCTTTCCTTGTAAGAAGGCGGTTTCACTGCAGATGCTGCTTGTTCGAGGGAAATACCTTACTGCTGTCACACCTCTCTACAGTCTGCAGTACGACTTCATCCTCAGAACTTGAGTAGCCACTTTTACTTTCATCGTTCTCCAATTGACCTGTCTGGCATGGTAGAACCTACAGTAACACATGTTCCATCCAATACAGCTCGGTTGGGTCATCACGATAGGCAAGCTCAACCACCACGACAAGGTAGCAGCTATGGTCGGGAGAGCCACTATACACTCTTCCTACACGTACCAAGGTGTCTTTTATTACGATCATAAAACTTTGGTTACATCTGTTATCATTAAAAAACAGAAATTAACCGAAAAAGAGTTCACCAACCTGGATCACTCACCATCACCATCTCTGAACATCGTCATAAGCTCTTTCTATCACTTATATCACATCTTAAATTTAACATATAGGCTTTTTAATATCTGCGTAAAATGGGACTTATTTACACTACACACCATCCTGCGTTTTACGGAATGTTGTAAATAAAGCATTGAAACTGGTAAATTTTCTGTAAAGTACATTCTTTAAGCACGTGATATCACTATCTTTAGCCACATTCACGCTTTTGTAAAGCACAACATTGTTATAACCATTTAAAACTTATTCGAAGAGATCCAAATCAAATATGGAGAACCTCATTACTAATCCTTAAAATAGAATTTCTCCACCATTTTTACTAGACACTTGCGCACTACAAGTCGTAGATTTTTTTATTCCATACATATACTCAATAATCGCTAACAATATTGGAATTTCTCATTCTTATCATCTACCCTTCACGAAAATATCTTGCCATTGTCTAGTTTGTTTCTGCTTGCTGCTGAATAGATTTTTGAAAGTCTAAAGATTCAGTTTTATATCACTGGGTCTTATGTTTGACTTTCACCTAATTATATGTATATGCATATTAAATAAAACAGACTCAGGTTATCAAATCTATAGTAAAAGTTAGTGTTTGTTGTTAAGTTAGTTCTGTATTCTTGCAGAAAATGTCTCTGCATCCCATATTTTTACTAGGTTTATGAAATGCATCTTAGTTTACCAGCCTAAAGTAACATGTTTTCTTAAACTACCATTTTCTAAGGAAGAACTGCTTCTGTTAAGTCAATGAACTGTCATGTATTCAGAACACTACCAGCAAAATTTTTATCGCATTCGGGTCATATTACAATAGCGAAAACGTTCGGCATACACTGTTCGTATGACCGCTTGACTGGTGAATGCTGTAATTTTCCTTCCAGCACAACTTGCACATTGTCGTATTTACACGCTATGTTGGCGAACGCAGGATTACGCAATACTATGGATATTGGGGATCTCCAGAGCATTTCGAGACGAAGTTCTGAAATCTACCACACTCCACCTGATATTTCTTCAGCAGGATTCCAGTTGAGACCAAACTCAATGACTCTAAGTTTCCAAGATCCAAGCCATCATGCTAATCAAGCAAATGTTTCTCATTATCATTCTGGGAATTTCTCAGTGGATAAATGTGTTTCGGTAAAATTGATTATAATTGCTTTAATCTACTGTTCATAAATCTATTTAAATAATATAACTGCGCAGCGCCTCTGCCTTAATTATCCATCAAGTATATCAGTAATTTATATTCACTTTGACCTGATTGAGATACGTCCAACTCAAGTGCAACCTAAAAGATCAGCGGGGTGATATATGCATGATTATTTTGTTAAGTGAATACACATAGATCCGCCTACCAGTTTTAACCAGATTTTACTTGCTAGAGAAGAGTAGTGTGTATCAGTGTTAAATAAATGGTTGTAGCTTGAAACTATAAGCCTTCAACTTCTCAGTGGCAACTTCGCAAGTTATTTCGCTCTACTAACGGGGTATGGCAAATCAAAAGAGAACGGAGTCTCCCTACTTTTGGCCGTACCAGGGCATATGTGAGCCACTGTTACTAATTTGTTGTCGTTTATCTTGGCTAAAATAACATAAAGTCTGGTGCTTTTTCACATCCTTTTTGTTCACTAGCATTTCTTCTATCACATCTCTATAAAGAGTCATAAGAAGTAGCTATAGAGTTCTAACAAGATATTTTCCAAATAATCTCTCGTAATACGTTCCTAATTGACCTATAATTATGGTCAGACGATCTAGTTTTTCTTGCTTCGCATTTCTAAATTATAGTTCTAAATGGGTGATGAGGTAAATCTTTATCGACTGAGATGATTTGTACATGATTTACCTTATGCCAAGTCGCCACTTTTCTGAATGATCAATACTTAGTAGTGTAGAATTGTCACACAAAAGCCCATAACGGTCAATATAAAACGTGACATCAGCTTACTGTTTGTTGGAATGAACCATGTTGGTATCTGCAGATTATCCTATTGATGACAGATCTTAATCTTGAATTTCAGTTTCTTCTCATACAGTCCTTTCCGAACCATATTCCCATTGTTTGAGGTTTCTCATTTTCATTGCTGCTACATTATTCCGATCTCATTCACTATTTGCCTAGTTATTTTCATCTTGTTGTAGTCGTTTTGGCAACTTCAACCAACGCACAATTGTAACAAGCTCCATATTAATTATGGCTAATCAATATGCTACTTACCAGCAGAACCAACAATATATGTTCTTTGTCATCTTGACATTTTCCATATTTATATCTCAGTGTTGATTTCCCAACTGAATATGCATGCGATATATCAGTGGTTGCAAAATGTCAAATTTTTCTCCATTTACATCTAAAAGTAAATTCAATCAGTCAGCTGTAACGTAGAACTTGGTACGTATGTTCATCAGTTTAAGTTGCCATACCTCATTAGCACACAGAGAGAATTGTCAATTCAAATCCCATAGTTGTAGAGTTAGTAGAACAATCAAGAGTTGAAGATATGATTCGAGAAGTATAGTCCAGTGAGGAGAATTTAACGCGAGAAAAAAATACGGTCAAGAGGAATTCAAATTAGAATTTTAGAGAACGTAAAAAATAGATGCATTGGCACCGCTGCAAATGATTGCGCGTCATGCCACTCAAGGTCTTTAACCATCGGTTTCTGTTATCTCGCGAACTCCAACCAGGTAGTCTACACCTACTAAAATGGCTCAGTCCAGTTGTCAGTGACTTCGTTGATCTATGCCCTGTCTTGGTTTGACCAACCCTAGCTATCTTCCAGATCAAATAAGTTTGCTCGTCGAGGCAGTGAATTTACCGTCCCATATTTGGTTTTTCTTATAATTAGGCTACATAAGAACTCAACTAGATTAATTCAGTTCTCAATATCAAGGATGAGAAGAAATCCAAACTACAGAAGCTAAGTCATTATTGTGTTGGCGAATAATGTGCTTGAAAGGACTTATTCGTCGATTTGTATGTATTGGGATACTGATATCTTGGGTCCCTATCATTTTGGTTTAAACAATATTTACCTAATAGTTGTGATGAATGGCGATGCATATCTTTCAGTGTTTAAATAATCGATAGCATCCTGTATGTTTCGTGATTGTTTTGATGTCGATCTAATAAAAAAACCTCACAATCGATTTGCGTACTCTAATTGGTCATTAGTGATGCCCACTTAGAAATAGTTGACAACCTGTGTCGACTCAGTAATTTGCCTGTCCGCTCGTTCTACTTTTACCTTTTGTAAATATATATCACTTTATTCACAGAACAACTATTTGATTGTTTCTTTTTTCCTTTTTCATATTTTCACACTTACAGCCTAAAAGATCTCGTTCTTCTCTTCCTGAACCAATAAATCCTAATTTGATCTCAAAGTTTTTAAAGGCCACTTCATCATTAAGCTCACGAATTGTGGGTACGAAGAATTCTCTTGAAACGGTGAGTTCAAATTTCTCCATCTTTATTGTAGTCATTTGAATTAAACGATATTAGATCTTCGTGAAATACAGTTATTCAAGTCTTGTTTTCTTCATTTAAGCCTTAAACATCTGTCTATATCCTGAAGTACTATTTCACCTTACTATTGTCGTATGGGCTGGAGATTCTGTTGGAATATACTGATACATACTGTGAGCAGCTATAAAAGGATCTGCTTGTTCAAGTGGATCATAGTGGTCGGAATTTTCAATAGTTGTTTCGTTTCGGAATTTCGGTCACTGGTGACATATTTAATTGTGTTCACTTTCCAATTATAAATAGTTCAAGTAACATGAATTTATTCATCACAGTTGCGTATATTAATTTAGTTAAAAAAGGTAGTGAAAAGTTTGAAAATTACTCATAAGTGTGATACCATATATATATATATATATATATATATATATATATATATATATATATATATATATATCTGGAGTAACTAGAAAAACAGTTAAGCTGCGATGCAAGAGATGCCTATCCCGACAAAAACTTGAAGTGATATCCGAAAAGCCGTGGAAACATCAGTGGTATCTGCTGGTAAGTTAAACTGAAAGGTTGCGAAGAAACAATGGATTTCAGTTGCATCTACCGAACTGATAGATGCTCGGAAACTCATTCCGTTTGTCTCTGAACACAATGAGAAGTGGAGGCAGCTTAAGCACAAGCTGATAAGAAGCCTGAGCAATGATCGCAAGCAATGGTAGGCAGAAAATACATAAGAGATGGGAAAGGCAGTGGCAGTAGATAACAGTAAATATTTGTTCAGACTAAACAAGGAAACTGGTGTTAAAAATCTCGAAAACAAACTGTACTCTTATTCATCCTCAGTCCAGGCGATTGGTTCGACGTGCAGAATACTTTATGGGTCAGCCCAAATGGCCTTCAGCCACACTTCGGTTACCCACGATCTTCAGTCAACTTGATACTTCGACATCTAACTAGAGCTGATCAAGAGCGGACTCGAGAAAACCAGGCTGGTTTCAGACCTGGACGTGGCTGTATAGATCACATACACATACTTCAACAGATCCTAGAACACAGACAGACACACGTTTTGGCCTCCGACAATAGTTGTCTTCCTGGACTTCAAAGTGGTATTTGACTCTGTCGATCGTGAGGTTCTATGGCAGTGTCTGTCATTGAAGGGTGTTTCAAAGAAGTACATTAATTTTATACAGGCTCTCCATCCGAACACTACTGGCCGATTCTGAGCTAATGACTAATGTTGTATAGTAAGTTATTCACTTTCCAACAAATTTTCTCTTGTTATTACTCATTTGTCATATGTTAAACATCACATCAAACCGTTGCATATTTTTTTTCGATGTATTGAGTGGTTGTATCATTGAACAGTAGAACAATTTTTTATTTTTATTTCATTGTAACTTAGATAAAATCGAATTGTGATGAACAATCACCAAAAATCAATTGTTTCAGTTCTACTACAATTGAAAGTGAAGATATCGAAAATATAGAGCCATCAAATCCAGCATCATGGGCGAAAGATTTTGATAATCTTTTGAATGACGCTGTTGGTTGTAATGAATTTAGGGTAATTACTTTTCATTTTTTCTTCGCTTTTTTCTTTCACCGCTCAGGAATAGTTTAGTTTACTTTAGTGTGCTGTTTAAAGCATACAGTTATTTACAATGACCATCATTCGATTAAGATTAATTATCTTTACGGAGGCCGAAAAGCGAATACTTCACGTGTTAGTCATTAAACAAATCAGTAGTGGCTGTTGACTTAATAAATATTGATTATTAATGAGTGACTACATATAGCAAGATTATCGCATCATTTAATTCTGTCAATTTATTATTATAGTCTAATGCACCTTCTTATTATCCTCAAAGATCGAAAAATTGGAGGAAGTTTTGAATCATTCTCAAAATTTCCAAAGGAGTTCAGCAAATTGTTTTATCGAGAAAAAAATGCACTTCTAATCACTATTATTGACTCATGATCATACCAAGTGTATTCATTTCACGATCTAGGAAAACTTTTAAGGATCGAATAACATTGATTGATTCACTAGATAAATAACCGTTGTTAGTACCCAAAAAAATGACATTTTACGCAGTTTCCAAGTCACAATTGATTTTAAAGGTTAAAGCGTTTAGTAGTTGTGATCTTTTCTTTGTGCCATCCACGTTATTTCTGTTAATGTCATGTTTTCACAGCCATATTAAATTTTATATAATCTTTATTCCACAAATGTACGATGTATCACATCTTAATACGTTTTAACTATATGTAGTTCTTTTTGATAACTACTCAGTAGACATAGGCTCTGACAGCTTTGCATTTTCAAGCCAGTGATTGTTGAATATGTGGTGAAATTTTAGCATCATTCAATAATTTGGGTTGTGAAATACAGTTTTGTTACATAAAGTCAAATAGTAGATATTAGCTGTTTTAGAAACCGCCATTTTTTCGTCCCACGGAAATAATGAATCAACCATGAAACATCTTCTGAAGTGCGTTTATTCGGTTATTCGGTTTGAATTATGTACAGATGTCAACTGCAGACATCAGCTAGACCTAAGTATGGATCGGAAAAGTCTGAGGAATGTCAAAATGATCGTGTTAGCATTTTATCAAGCTGAATTTCACATAATATTTCTCGCATTGTTAGTTACCTCGAGCCACTCTTCAGTTACCCACGATCTCCAGTCATCCTGAATGGCAAATCCATAGTCTTAATGAAGTTGAGAAAGCGTTAGGAAATCTGAAGCGAGGGCGAGCTGCAGGTCCTAATAGATTGACCCCTGAGATATTTAAGGATGGTGGTCCAGTTTTAGCAGCTACGTTGACTGAGATCTTAGATAGAATTTGTGAACTGGACGTAATCCTATCCGAGTGGTCTCAATTACTGCTTGTCCCAATCTATAAGAAAAGACAAAAGTCTTCTTGTGACAATTACAGGGGAATCAGTCTAGCTAATATATTTTCTAAAATGTTGGCCTCAATAATTCTTCGACGCTTAATGAAAGCTCATGAAGAGCAGACTAGAGAAAACCAGTCCGGTTTTCGACGTGGACGTGGTTATATAGATCACATCTTCACACTACGACAGGTCCTGGAACACAGACACACATTTAGGCGTCCTACAATAGTTGTTTTCCTAGACCTTAAGGCGGCATTTGACTCAGTGGATCGTGAGGTTCTGTGGCAGTGTCTGTCATTGAATGGTGTACCAATGAAGTACATTAACCTTACACAAACCTTACACTCTATCCATGAAGTCACTGACAAGTTGTCGACTACCTGGTTGGGGTCCGCGAGATGATAATAATCGATGGTCAGAGACCCTGAATTACATGGCTCAAAATCGTTTGCCATGGCGCCGGTGCATTTATTCTTTGTGTTCTCTCAAATCCTCATCTTCTGGATTCTTAACACCTCTAGTTTTGTCTTTCTAAACTTATCTCACTGAATCACATACTTCTTGAATAATATCTTCTAATCCTAACCTCTCCGATTACTTCTAATACATTTACTACCTCTGCTACTGTTGGATTTGAATTGACAATTACATCTCTGTGCTAATGTAGTATGGCAACATGAACTGATGTATTTACGTACGAAGTTCTACGTTGCATCTGACTGACTAACTGACTGCATTGTTAGTTATCGTACTTTTGTCCAATGAGGTGAATGATGCAGAAAAACAAATTAATTCAGTTTTACCAGCCAGTAATGTACTTGTTATAATAATAATAATATTGTAACAGTATTTAAGTTATACATATATCACAATCCATTACTTCCTCCAAAGAGCGATGAATCTACAGTTCTGCTCGATCATCCAAGATGCCACTTACAAGGTAGCATATGAGTAGAATGCAGTGAAGTATTGCTTAAACGTTGAAATATATGACACCATCCACAGTGTACCGAAGATCAGAAGTAATGTGAGAGAATACAGTCAGGAACCTGTTTGTACTAATGGATATTTGAAATTAAGTTTATATTTTTTTAAGATAAACTTAGTCCTCTAGAAACATATATTCAAACTTGTTTTGATGTCTTCGTTAATTGAACTGGTTATGGAGGGGGAATTTTCATAATTGATGAACGAAGTTTTGACTGTTACAATGAAAAAGTGTCCATGCTATGATGCCATGTTGTCGATTAGTGGCTAGTGATAAATTATCGGTTTAGAGTTCAGAATAACTTAAAATCACAAATAAGTCCACTGGCTTGAAGTTTAGATCCTTTTCTGTATGATAAAGTGAACTGTTTATGTACAAAATATTAACACAAAAATCAGTATGATAAGATGTCTCAAGTGATTTAAGAAAATCAGTCTGTGGATCACTGAGCACATAAGCTGCGAAAGAGCATGTTTCTCTACTTTTTAACGACTATTTAGGATTAAATTCCACTTGTTTGTTTTTAAAACATCTATCTACACTTCTTCGATTCAACTACTTCTTAATCTTTACTTGTTTCTACTTTTTCTTTCTTTCACAGAAATTTCTGATAACGGAATTCAGTGCTGAGAATCTTGATTTCTTGCTTTCAGTCCGTAGTTGGCGTCATGCCTTCGAAGCCGAAAATGTAATCTACAATTATTCTTGAAAATGTTAAACCAATCAAGGCAATTTGAGTGATAATCACAATGAAATGAAAAAGATTACGTAACTACATCTAATAGGCAAAAGTTCAAGTGGATAATAGGAAAACAGGTCTACTGATAGTAGTAAGAAAATTTGTAAAATATGATAACTAAAGTAGGTCAAGGGTGGGTGAATAGAATTCAAATAATCACCAAAAACGTCAAAAACATTACGTAATAAGCAAATGTGTAAAAATAAAATAAAATAATAAATCAAAAATAATAAAAATAAAACTAATGATTGACATATTTTTATTTTTATTATTTTTGATTTATTATTTTATTTTATTTTTACACATTTGCTTATTACGTAATGTTTTTGACGTTTTTGGTGATTATTTGAATTCTATTCACCCACCCTTGACCTACTTTAGTTATCATATTTTACAAATTTTCTTACTACAACATTTTCATATAAATATTCATGTATATTAGAGTAAAGCCTGATGACGATCTAATCGAAAACAATATTGTTCGCTTATATGTGTTGTTCTAATTTTCACAATGGGAATCTTTAAAATTATTCTTGACATGTGTAATCATTATTGTTGACCTTAATATAGATATAAATAGTTGATAAGCAATGTTGAATTTTGAAACTGGTACTTGATCAAACGAAATTCTTTACAATATTTCACATTGCTTTTAATTTCCATTCCTATAACCCCACTATCTTATTTTATGATACTTATTGAATCTTCTTATAATACGAAAAAGCAATCAATCAATAGCAACGCAGAACTTCATGCTTACGTACATCAGTTCATATTGCCATACCACATTAGCACAGAGATGTAATTGTCAATTCAAATCCAATATTAGTAGAAGTAGTAAAGGTATTAGCAGTTGTCGGAGAGGTTAGGAATTAGAAGATCTTCAAGAAGCGATAGGAAATGTACCGCAATAGAAAACATAACTTCATTCCTCTTAAAGTTATATCCAATTAAACAAAGAAATATCACCAGTCCACGAAGTAAGTGATGGTTGGTTCTCTCTCTTCACTAGGGGTCCGAAGGATAGTCATAATCTATGGTTTGGTTACATAGGTGAAAACCATTAGCATTGACATAGTTGGATTCATTATTTATCTTTCAAATTCTGAACTTGGCATTATCCTGTTTTTATTCTGTGATCTCATTTGTTCTCTTTGACTATAATTTTAGTGTGTATTTTTCTATTGTCGTTGATACTACGGTTTTCACTTTGCATATATATATACTCTCGCTATGCTGATGTAAAAAAATGCCAAACGGGACTAGGATATCTTCATGCCAATTTGTACATGGTCTCAAATTAGCTTATTTGTAGAATAATAACCATAACACTCGCTGCATTGTATTTAGACTTGATCATGTTTAATCCCTTTTATCTTTACTTTAATTTTAGTCGTAACACTAATGTATCCCCTCTATTTCTTTGTTTCATTAAGGTTAAAGAAAAGGCAAATGAAATATTCAATAAATTCTTAGTTCCTGATGCTCCTCAAGCTGTAAATGTAGATCATGCAGCCATAAAGTCTGCCTCATCTTATCTATCACATCCTCATATAGACATGTTCTTGGAAGCCGAAAATCAGGTAAATTAAATCTAAACTATAATAATACTTAAACATACATTTAGCAACCTAAATTGGTTTATATAATTTGCATTTATTCTCAAATCGTTCATATTCATTCTACTCTAATAATGTTTATTAGAGTCAAGTTTTTCCAAATCAATAGCTTCCTGAAATTAATTAGTAACATACGAATCAATCAGCACTTGTAACATTTTCATATCCTAACATTTCTAAAGCTTTATATATATATATATATATATATATATATATATATATATATATATATATATATCACTTTAATTTCTTTTTATTAGTTTTCCTGAAAACCAGTCTGTCAGGCAGCTAGAACGTCGAACTTGGTATGTACTTACATCGTTTCAAGCTGCCATACCACGTAAGCACATAGATCGAATTCTCAATTCAAAAATCTTAGTAGTAAAGGTTGTAAAAGCATTTGCAGTAGTCGGAGAGATTGTGCCAAGTTTTTGTTTGGCCGCCCCTAGCTTTCCTCTAACCTACTACTCCTACACCACAAAACAGGTCTTCGAGGCAATCGTTGGTTGGGCATTCGTAACAAATGTCCCAACCACCTCATCTGATGCGGATTAAATACCTCATTAATTGATGTGTGAACGTTACCTAGAACTCGTTTCCTAATTACAGCAATGCTTACTCGGTTATCCCACGATATACGAGCAACGCTTGTTAAACATCTGTGATCGAATACTAGTAACCTACGAACATCTTCTACTCTTAACGGCCATGTTTCACAGCCATATATAATGACGGAGCGAACTGCTGTGCAGTACACCCGCCCTTTGGTTAGCGAACGGATATCACGCCTACGCCATAAGTGACACAAGTTGGCAAAAGCTAATCGAGCTTTCTGTATCCGAACTGAGATTTCGTCAGTCACCGGGCCATGAGCACTGATGAGACTGCCGATATAAGTGAAGCGATCAACACACACGCTCGATTACTTCACTCCCTATCACTAGTTTAGGTACCGATGCAATTCAATCTTGAAGCAACATTTTGCGTTTCGAGGGTGGGGGCGGAAACCGCATCCCGAACATGCTCGCAATGTTGCTTATGGTAGTCAGACGTCTCTGCATTTTCTCAGCGTCTTCATCTCTAAAAACATGTCTATGACAAGGTTAAACATGAATGGAGAGAGTGGACATCCTTGACGGACCCCACTTGAAGTAAAGAATTCCGATGACAGTTTTCCATAAGCTCTGACTAGGTCATTAGTGTTAGTATATAGCCTGTATAAGATTGATATACTTCTCTGGATCACCCTTCAATGACAGACACTGCCATAGAACCTCACGATCGACAGAGTCAAATACCACTTTGAAGTCCAGGAAGACAACTATTGTCGGGGGCCAAAACGTGTTTCTGTGTTCTAGGACCTGCTGAAGTATGTATATGTGATCTATGCAGTCATGTTCAGGTCTGAAACCAGCCTGGTTTTATAATGATGATGATGATGATGATGATGAGGTTGACATGTTTCCGGTTAAATTGCCAATGAGGCTAGATTATGCATATGCTTTAGCTAGTAAATTTATGATTAATTATGAAAGCTAAAATCATTTAATATGTTGTATTATTATACGATAAAAATAGCTGCCTGGTTAATCAGTTTAGCTTTAAAACTATCAAGTCAAACAATAACTCCTGATTATTTGTTATCATACCCTTTTTACGATATGATATTGAATCATAGTTATGTTGCAGTGAATTTCTTTTTTACCCATGTGAAGTAGTTCATGCGCGCCGTATTTGTGAAGAGTCATTTCATGTTATTATGAAAATGTCTCACAACAGTTCATATAAGGTCTTATCAGTTTTTTCCACCTTGATTTTACTATCAATTTATTTATTTTGTTTATTATTATCTGGTGTGTGTGTATATATTTAAATTTTTAGGTATATATATTAATGAAAACTGATTCATTCCCACGATTCTTAAATTCTTCAAATTATTCATTCATATTAAATAATTTCAATGCAAATAAATCTACTACTAGAAAGTCAACTGTACTGAATCATTCAAAAATTTTCAAGAATAAATCAGATATTTCTTCTTCTATAATAAATAAAATGTCTTCAAAAATTTTGACAACTAATAATCAAATTGTCAATGATGAAAATAAGTTGATATCATCGAAAGTAGAAATAAGTGATAATAATAATACACATGCTGCTATTGCTCAATTAAATAAAAATAAAAGTTTAATTGTACTTGAAAATGATGCTGATGATACTGTTACACCCGGTGCTAAAATTCAGAGAAATTTAAACAAGGAATTTAATGCTAAAAGTTTCAAGTCAAATTTAATAAGATTAAAAAGTAAGTTTATTGAATCTTTTTTTAGTCGTAACTTTGATGAATGTTCTTTTTTTTTATAAAGTAGTAAGTAACATTGGTAGCATAACTGTAGTGAACGAGAACACAGGTGGGGCAACCGAGTTGTATTTAACGAAAATTACAGAGTGACTCAGTAAAATCGGAACACCATATCGTAAATCGTTCATTTGCAAAATAACAGTTCATCATATCGAACTGGACTGTTCCTGTTGCAAAACATCAATCCATTGTCACCATTCATGCGTTTCATACAAATTCCATTGTTTTCTAACTCTTCCTTTCTTGATCTTACCCCATCTTCGGCTGCCAGACATTACGTTGACGCTCACATCATATACTACTTATAAGTAGTTCGCACCACAGCACTACATAACTACGGTTTCGTTTCTAGTTTATAGGTCGGAAAAAAATGTTTTATCGAATATGAACTTGAAAATAGTTGTTGTGAAACAACTTCTAAGCATTTTAGCTTTTGTTCCTCAGTGGTTTTTATATGCTTCGGTTGCTTACGAGTACAGTGTAACATTTCCTCAACAGTGCATATAATTCAAAGCACTTTTAGTTTTTTTTAAAGGTTTGTGTAAAGTAAGACTGGAAGCCCGTTAGAAACTATGAATTACTAGCATAGTAAGAACTATCATCTGTAACCGCTTGTAGTGTCATTTCTAATTTCTTCAACGTATTCAGCCTGAAGCTGTTGTAATATTTAGCAATAATTACTTTATAGTTCGAGCCTGGCTTATCATCAATCAGATTCACTGTTAATAAAATCACCTTACTTTAATCTGATCCATAGAGTCCAGCCTAACCACAGACACATGACAGTCTACTAGTAATAATTTTCGATCAACAAAAAGGATAACTGACAACACATTCAACTATATCAAGTGTAAATTTTAAAGCTATTAATATTTAGTGCTGTATTGATTTAAATTCTAAATAAAACTCATTTTATTTCTATCGATCTACATTGACAAACGGTTTTTTTAGTGGCCAGTGATTCGACCCCAAGTTGTACGAATGGTTGAGTATCCGATGAAATAAATCTTCTCTTTAATTTCCGTAGATCATACTTAGGCTAACCGCGTTTGTGCGAAGTGTAGAAGGCATTTCGGGCCAACTCGCTGTGACGCAGAGTGACCTAGGTATTTGTGGTCAGACATAAATAGGGTAGACATTGTGTAAGCAAAGTAAGTATGCACACACGCACAGTCGAATAAAAACAGCCAAGACATAAGCGAATGATTGACAAGGTCGAAAAATGAGCAGAAAATGTTTGTCTGAAAGTTAGGACAAGCCCTGTTGGCTCGACATGTTTGTACATACAATACAAGTTTTTAACTGAGTTACTTATTTACAATCGGGAAACATTAACCGAGGTAAATATACTTGGAGATTAGTTTTGGAGTTGCTGTTCGAAAAACAAATTTGTTAACCAACTCTATCTACATCTCATCACATTGAAAAACATGGATTAGTATGATAGTTGTTCGAACACAACTCAATGGTGGATACGAGTAGAAGGTTCCTTCTAACGGTCTCATCTGTACTATCGGTTTTGTCCAATAGTTCTGATACACATTTTTCAAAGGCACTAATTCAAATGTAGCAGTTTAAAGCTTTATGTAATGAATTAAATGTCAGTTATTCAAGTTAGCGGAACTATATTTCATGATATCTAAAAACCTATTCCCCCTATTGTTTCATAGGTATGAATGTGATCTCCCGCAGTTCTAGATACGTTTCAAATCTGTGAAATAAATTTTCCAAGTTTATATATGTTTACGTATATATATATATATATATATATATATATATATATATATATTTTTTTTTTCTGGAATTAAAACGTAGTGTTTTTTTTAAGAAACGGAAGAATATGACATGTTACACCACGGTCCATGAGTGATTTAATGTAATCTAGATTTAGCATAAGTCACGCTAAAAACGATACCTCACTTTTTGCATTTCAATAGTTTTCTAATTATAATCCTTTTCTGTGATAAAAACTAATTTGGAGCATCATCCAGTAGGACAAAGTTAGATTTAATTTAAGACTATTTAACGAGTTAAATCTTCCATATTGAATACAAAATTGATTTTATTTTATCTATTACAGGGTGATGAACAGTCCATGTATAGGTTTGAGTGAATTATCACAAGAAAATGGGTAACCTATTTCACTTTGTTTTCCTATTTATTTCATTGAATATCTCACTGTTTATTGATGTCTTCATCTAAGTTCTTATTGACATTAGGGATCAAAATTGAATCCTCCCATTTTTGTCATCATATGATTTTATCAGTTTCAGTGAATGTATCATGATCACAGGATAGATATTTCCTGTCATTGGATTAATTTTTTGTTTCAACAAACAATTATATCATGACTTGAAACTGGAATTTTGATGTGCCTTTCCAAACTGATGAATTGTCTGTTCGCTGTTATCGTTAGAATACAGTACTTGACTCGACTGATTTCAAATTGGAACATGAATTGAGTGGAGGTTAATATATAAACCAATAAAATTAAAAAAAACCCAAAGGATACAGTAGTAAAAATATTTGAGTCTCTAGAATGTACACAATAATCTGTTATCTCCTATATTCGCATACCAGCATTAACTAGTTGAAAAATGGATCAGTTAACGCATTTCAAATTAATTATGTTCTGAGAATACGACAGTCAAAACTGGTTCCTGTTAATTTAATGAAACAAGTGATCTAATAAACTAATTTCTTTTATATCATAATTCAAAGCATAAATAAGGATTTTTGTCCAGTTGTTTTCAATATTAATGTCTTAATTTAAAAGTATGTATAATTTTTTAATGTACTCTTCTCAAGTATTAGTAATTAATCTGAAATTCCTGTTCAGTTTTAAAATTCAACAATTGCCTTAACATATATATATCATATCATATCAAACAACATCTGACACACGAGTTTATTTAGCATTTGAATTTAAATCGAATTCCATCGATCCATAATCATAGAAAATTAAATTCACTATTTTTACATCAAGTTCGTTTAAGTTGCTAAAATGTAAAATATTCATTTATTATTCCTAAATGTTATTGTTATTACCGGTAAATTTCTGATTTTTTTTTCAGATTTCGTTGATATTAAGAGATGATGACAATGGACAATTTTTATGACAAATGAGAGCGCGTATTTATTCTACTGTACATAATAGGAAACTGCACATACTTTGTTTTATTGACATGACCAATAAACTTATTTCTATACAAAAGTTTCTGTTTTTATTGGGTAATGTTGTGAGGTGGATGGTTCTGATTTTTGCTTATTGATTAGTAAATTTGACTTAATTGTACGTTTTGTTATCTTAGTCATCATTCATATTGTGTCGATCAGATTAATTACTACACTGATTTTAAAAGCTTTTTCTGTCTTTAGTCACTGATATGGTACATGGCATGTCGGTTCGCCAATCGAGATATGAATATGGTGTAAACACTGTGATAAACCCTAACCCTACAACGGAGAACTTCGTACATAAGTACATCAGTTCCGGTTGCCATACACATCAGCACAGAGACGAAACTGTCAGTCCGAATCCAAGAGTGATAGCGATAGTAGAATTATTAGCAGCAATCGAGAAGATTCGGGAACGAAGATATAATTCGAAAAGTACAATTCAGTAAGATAAATTAAGAAGAAGAAAGATAGAGACTATGAGGAATACAGAGGCTTAGAATTAAAAAGCACACAAAGAGTGGATGCACCTGCGCCATTGCAAACGATTTTGAGCCATGTCGTTCAAGGTCTCTAACCATTGGTGAGTTTCGTCTCGCAGACCCCAACCAGGTGGCCTACATCTACCAACATGACTCAGTCCACTTGTCAGTGACTTCATGGATTTCTGCCATGTTTTGGTTTGGCCGCCCATAGCTTTCTTCCAACCTACTACTACACTGCAAAACATAGCTCGTCGAGGCAGTCGGTGGTTAGCCATACGTAACACATGTCCCAACCACCTCAACTGATGAAGTTTCATTACTTCATCTATCGATTTGTCATCCTTACCTACAACTCGTTTCCTAACGACAGCATTGCTTACTCGGTTGTCCCACGATATACGAGCAATGCTTCTAAGACGTCTATGATCGAAAACCAGTAACATACGAATACCTTCTACTCTCACTGGCCATGTTTCACAGCCATAAAGTAAGACGGAGCGAACTGCTGAACAGTACACTCGTCCTTTAGTCAGCAAACGGACATCTCGCCTACGCCATAACTGACGCAGGTTGGCAAAAGCCAGTTGAGCCTTCTGTATCCGAGCTGAGATTTCGTCAGTCACCAGGCAATCAGCACTGATGAGACTCGCCAGATAAGTGAGGCGATCAACACGCTCGACTGCTTCACTCCCTATCACTAAATCAGGTGCCGATGCAACCCAATCTTGAAGCAACATTTTGCATTTCGAGGGGGAAAACCGCATCCCGAACATGCTTGCATTGTTGCTTAGGGTGGTCAGAAGACTCTTCATTTTGTCAGCGTCTTCACGGAATAGAACTATGTCATTGGCATATTCTAGGTCAGTAAGCGATTTTCCTGGTAGAAGGTCAACCCTTGAAGAATCTGACTAGCTTAATGTTAAATCTAAGAGGATGTCTACGACAAAGTTAAACAATAATGGAGAGAGTGGACAGCCCTGACGGACACCACTTGAAATGAAAAATTCGGGTGACAGTTCGCCATAAGCTCTCACTCGACGTGTAGTGTTCGAGTAGAGTGCTTGTATAAGGTTAATGTACTTCTTTGGTACACCTTTCAATGACAGACACTGCCACAGAACCTCACGATACAAAGTCGAATGCCGCCTTAAGGTCCAGAAACACAACTATTGTCGGACGTCTTAATGTGTGTCTGTGTTCCAGGACCTGTCGTAGTCTGAAGATGTGGTCTATAGAACCACGTCCAGGTCGAAAACCAGCCTGGTTTTCTCGAGTCTGCTCTTCACGAGCTTTCGTTAAGCGTCGAAGTATTATTGAGGCTAACATTTTAGAAACTATATTAGTTAGACTTATTCCCCTGTGATTGTCACAAGAAGACTTTTGTCCTTTCTTATAGATTGGGACAATCAGTAATTGAGACCAGTCGGATGGGATTGCGTCCAGTTCCCAGATTCTACCTAAGATCTCAGCCAACCTAGCTAATAAAACTGGACCACCATCCTTAAATATCTCAGGGGTCAGTCTATCAGGCAAATATAGCAAGACGGTTAATAATGCTGTAGATTTTCGTCGATTGATATGCATAAGACTGCGCTACATATACATAGCCACTGCCCACCAAAAAAAAATACCGGTTGGATTAGAAGCATTGAAGGTAAACTGAGAAAGGTCTACGGTGCAAAAAGGGACAGTAACTTTCGGAATGGTTGATCTCAGACGTGTCGTAAGGTGTTAGTGTTTGCGCAATAAGTCAATGCCGACCTTAGGTAATTTGGGTTTGAACTGGTCGAAATGATATATTCTCTCGTTGCTTCTCGTTTTCAGTCTTCTACAAATGTACAACTTAAATTTGTATGAGTGAATTGACTTTTCTGAAATCATCTGAGCTTGTTTGCCTTTCCGAGGAAATCAGTTTTATGCCATAGTAGCGCTAAAGGTCATGTGCAGCGAAGAACCTGGCATGTGTCCTCATTAGTCCATGCCACATTAGCACAAGGAAATAAGACTATTTCAACACAAATCCCATATGAGTACGTGTAGGAAAAATAGATATGATTAAATTCTAGTAAGGGAAAAAGTGAACTCAGCAACAACATTGCGAACCGTGTAACCAGTCTCTGACACTGGTTATGATAATCACGCGGCCTACAACCAAGCAGAGTACATTTTTAAACCTAACTCATTCCAACGGTCGATAACTTTGTGAACTGATGTCACATCTTCGCTCATCCGCCACCATAGAAAATCTCAAAGATACACAGAAATCCTTCAACGAGGTTAACCAACAATCGAACTCATCTTCATTAACTTTTCAAATCAATAGCGGTCAAACAACTTATACTGTGAAACTATCACTCTCATTTTTTACAACGTAATTTGACCTAATCAAATTGTTTAGTAGTGGTTTTGACATGGAGTCATATGTTTCTAAATTCAAAGCAGAATCAGTTTCTTTTATCATTTGTTCATCATTCATATGAATAGGCCAATAAACTTCCTCTTTAATTCGAATTACTGTGTATGTTGTTCTTATTGTGTTTCTTTTAGGGATGAATATATTTCTTACAGTGTTCGCCGATTCCACAGGTTATACTCCAAGCAGATCTCAAGTTCTTCCTCCATTAAGAGGAAGCTTTCCATTAGATCGTCAAGGCCTATGTAAAATTGCTATGTTGGGATGGACTCAGTGTATGATGAAGAATCATTGGAATAGTTCTTTGTGTAGATCTGAAGCGGCTGGTTATTTACGTTGTCGAGCAGAGAACAATTTGATGGATCCCGATGAAATTGCTTTGCTTGGATTCACTGAAGAAGAATGGAACCAAGCTAATAAAGATTTTAAAAGTACAAAGTAGTGTCACTACTCCTTTCGATTTTGTAGACACAAATAAATGAAAATAAATCTGATCAATAAAGAAAACCAAATTATATATGTATATATGTGTGCTTATTGTATTTGTAATTAAACTGAGGGGGAAAATACAGAAATAAGAATTGTTTATTAAAGCTAATTATGATGATATTAGTGAAATATATATATATCAGTAAAAGTAAATACTAAACAAAAAAACAATATTGCAATAGAAATAAACAACAATAACAACAACAACAACAAAGAAGCAACAGAACAACAACAACATTAAAACTGATACAATTAATTATCATCTGAAGAACAAAAAAAAACAAAATGCCTTTTTTTTTTAACACAAATAAGTTATTAATTATAATAAGTTTAAGTTAAAAGTTTTCGAGCAGATGTTGGAGCTAGTAAAAGTAGCAATCCTTCTAGTCTTTCCAACAAATAATTGATTGGACTGAAAACCCAGTTGAGAGTCTATATAGAAAAAAAAAAAGAAAAATTAGTTAGTTTCAGAAATAATTTTTAGATATGAAGTAAATATAATAATCGCAATGTAATAATCCATCCCGGGTTCGAATCCTGCGCACTGCTGAGGAGTCCCATACTAGGACGAAACGGCCGTCCAGTGCTTCCAGTTTTCTAATGGTGGTCTAACAATGATGATTGATTAATGATTTCAAATGTGTAAAAACGCAAACCTCCAAAACTGTGCCCCAATATATTTTAAGCATAGAAAATGTTCCTATCTCAAAATGTTAGTGGTTTTGAGTACTAATAATATCTGAACTTAAAATACTCATAGCATTTATACTGATAGAGTATAGACCATCGGACCAGTATAATATTGGTTGAATATGATTATTTAATTTTGGAAAGTTAGTTTTCTAATTATACTCACCTTACTGGAAACTGATCCCATTTGTTCAGGATAAACATGAGTTAAACATGTAAGTATAGCTGTTAGAGAGCATAAAGCTGCAATGAATAGGATAAAAAATGGGACATCTTTTTTTGGATACACAGATAGTGTATGAAAACCTAAAGATATAGAAAGAATGCAGAAACGAAATTCGTGAAAATAAACACAGTTAATTATATATATATATAATAAAAAATGTGGACTTTGCATTTCACTTTGGTTGTGTTATTGTAAAAAATTACGGACACATATTGTGTGATGATTTTAACAATAAAAAGTCCTATCTATACCTTGTATCACTTTTTTACACAATTTCTAATTTAATAACATCGAGCATATAATTAACGTCTAGTTAGAGCATTTTAAAACACAAAATTTGTTATCACATCATGTTATGTAAAGACATTATTTGTGTAACTATAATATCAAAATGAAATCATCTAGAAGATTTAGTTTCTTTTGAAATATTTGAGTTGATTAATATAAGGATTTTTGTTCTAACGTGTTTTTGCCATTTATTAGCTTATGCCTAAAAATTTTGTTGTACAATCTTACTAATAAGAACTTAGCTCTAACTCTGAAATTGATGATCTTTTTTTATTCTTATTTGTGACAAAAAAAATGGAAAACTACGCTTCTCAGTCAATCATTTATGCTGCTATTCGTGGGCAAAAATATTATTTACTTCAGTACAGTCATAGTTGTTGCGGGCAATTGAAATTCCTACTTTCAATTTAACTTTATGAGTCGAAACACTTAAACATAAAAGCCTTTTTTTATATTTTAGCTATTTAAGGATGGTAGCGTCATTTGAAGTATTAACTCGTCAGTATGTTGTCTTTATAACAGGAAATAGTTATGAAGATACATTACATTTTTTGGCAGTAAAATTTGGATTCCTTTAGATCTTTTATAATTGAATAATGTTATTCTGGGCTGTAGGCAAGTTCAACTTCTTAATGAGAGTTTATATCCGTGATTAATGATCAGAGGATTTTTTGATTCACACGCCGTCAATCGCATATGAACATTATTTACAGACTGTCAAATATTTTACGGGTTACAAATACCAACTGTTTGTTACGTATTATTTAACTTATTTCTAATCGCTCTGTACAAGGTAATAACGTCTGTTTTTAGTGAGAGAGAGAGAGGGAGACAGCGTCCTTAGATCATAATTTTCGATTGGAAATGAGTTCATAAATAATTCCTTTCATAAAATTTCGGGATAATAGTGTTAGGTGGTTTATGGCAAACATAAAAAACATGTTTTCCGAGATGGGGTTTAATTGAAACCTCATAGACTATATAGTTCATCTAAAATAGTTTTTAATATCATTATGAGATTAGAATGATAACACAAAAAGGAGAATTCATACTTGGTAAAAGCTCTCGATCAGTTGCTGTAGTTGAATGGGGATATGGATAAAAGAGATTTCCTTTTTCTAACGGATATGGAATAAGTCGAAAAGTCCCCTCCCATGTACAATACAATAAATTAATCGCACCTTCCACAGCTTTCCAATGAGCTAAATGAAAAAATGCATAAGCTATGGCTTCAGAGTCGCCACGTTTTAAAATGTGCTCTGTAGGCAATATGAGAGGTTTCATCTCAAGAAGGTACTGAAATAGAATTTAAATAAAACAAATCGAGTGATATAACTAATTTAATGTAAATTTGCTAGGTAAATTACACTAATTAACAGAAAACGAGTTGGTCAGTATAGAGAAGGTTTTGAGTCATAACTGAACGATTAGTTCCTTCATACTGTCGTCAAGGAAGTATCTTACAGTTTTGGAGTATCAATCACCAGGATGAATTCTAAACGACGTTTCTATTGCTTTTGCTAAGATATGAATAGTAGGAGCAACTGCTAAAACAGTCAGAACATTGTATATCTTGTAAAGATGACCGTAGCTGCTACCTTGATGTGGTGGTCGGGCTTGCCTACCGTGATGACCCAGCCGAGCTATACTGGCTGGAACATATGTTCCTGAAGGTTCTACTATGCCAGGCAGGTCGATTGGAGAACGATGAGACTAAAAGCAGCTAGCTACCCAAGATCTGAGGGCGAAGTCGTACTGCTGACTGCAGAGGGGTATGACAGCAGTAAGGCGCTTCCCTCAGACAACCAGCATCTGCAGTGATGCTGCCTTCTCACAAGGAAGGAAGGGTTAGAAACGGTTGACCCTAAAAATGTCGCACCTCACGGATTTCCGTCTTCGGTGGTAAGGGTGTCCACTAAGGGGTTTCAACAGCGGAGCTAATACTCAAAACACCTTTAACAAAAAGGCCGTGCGTGACGGGCCTCAAGCAGTTGTCCGTCGGGCTCTGCGGTCACGCTCCCAGGTCTCTAAGATCAACACTAATCTACCTTCCTTTTCAGGTTCCTCAAGAAAAACCCTTCGACGATGTGGGCAGCCGGGAACCACCCTCATATCCGTACCAGCACGAGACCAAATTGGTCAAAATCAAATCCTTCCTACACCCCCTAATGTCTCTCTTATCTCTACGACTAACTCTAGTCGCATTCCTTCAGCTGTTGATAGTCGCCTGTGCGCCGTCCGACTAAACGGGACAGTAAGGATTCGGAAGGTTAGGGACACTCGTCGTTGCCTCTTCGTCATATCAGCCTACAACCCAACTGACCGCAGTGCAGACGAGATGAAAGGCGAGTTCTACAGAAAGCTTTCGGACCTCCTTCAAAAGGTTAGGCGCTCTGATGTAGTATTAATGGCTGGTGACTTTATTGATTAAGTAGGTAGACTAAGTGAAAATGAAAGACACCTAGGTGGATGTTATAGTGTCGCGGCTCAAAGAACAGACAATGGCGGCCGTCTGTTGCAACTGTGCTCAGATAACTGCCTATTCCTAGTAAACACTAATTTATGCATAAGGAAAAAGATCTGTTGAACTGGCGACCTCCAAATTCGTCTCAACGTTTGACGCAACTAGATCATATCGCCATCAGCCACCGATGGAGGGGTTCGATAGAGGAATGTCGCTCGCTCTGGGGCACATGTGTAGATTCAGATCATGCTCTACTGCGAGCGCGCATTTGTTTGCGCCTTACTGGACGTCAGAAAAATATCGCAAGAAAACCTCTTAGGGCTTTACTTAATGATAATCTGGCTAAGAAAATAATTCAGGAAGAACTAGAAAAACAGTTAGGCGACCATGCAAGTGATCCTCATCCGGAGTCAGGTTGGAATGATATCAAAAAGGCTGTGGAAACAACAGTGACATCTGCTAGCAAGGTAAACCATAAGGCTAGGATGAAGCCGTGGCATTCGACTCAGTGGATCGTGAGGTTCTATGGCAGTGTTTGTCATTGAAAGGTGTACCAAAGAAGTACATTAACCTAATACAAGCTCTCTACTCGAACTCCACTGGTCGAGTGAGAGCACATGGCGAACTGTCGACGGAATTCTTTACTTCAAGTGGTGTCCGTCAGGGATGTCCCCTCTTTCCATTCTTGTATAACTTTGTCGTAGACATCCTCTTAGAGTTAACATTAAGCTCGTCAGATTTTTCAGTGGTTGACCTTCTACCTTACTTACTTACGCCTGTTACCCCCAATGGAGCATAGGCCGCCCACCAGTTTTCTCCAACCAACTCTGTCCTGGGCTTCCCTCTCCAGTTCTGTCCAATGTTTGTTCATTCCTCTCATATCTTTCTCTATTTCTCGGCGTAGTGTGTTCCTTGGCCTTCCTCTTTTCCTTTCCCCTTGAGGGTTCCATGTGAGGGCTTGTCTCGTGACGTTGACCTTCTACCATTCTTGTTTAATTTTATCATAGACATGCTCCTCGAAATAACCTTATCCTCGTCTGAATTTTCAGACGCATATTCGGGATGCGGTTTTCCCCCTTCGAAATGCAAATGTTTCTTCAAGATTGGGTTGCGTCGGCACCTGATTTAGTGATAGGGAGTGAAGTAGTCGAACGTGTTGATCGCCTCACTCATCCGGGGAGTCTAATTAGTGCTGATGGCCTGGTGACTGACGAAGTCTAAGTTCGGATACAAGGCTCGATTGGCTTTTGCCGACCTGCGTCATTTATGGCGCAGGCGAGATATC